CTGTAAACCGTTCTACAACATTAACGTTGTAATGCTGTGGGCTTGGGGCACAGCAGCCAAGAGCTGTGAAGAGAAGGACCTGGGGCTGATGGTGACACTTGGCTGGATGCAAGCCAGCAGGGTGCCCAGGTGGCCAACACGTTTGCTAGATAACACTACACCCTTCCCCTTAGTGCTATCTTACCACTGAGGTGATCTACAGTCAGCAATTCTTTGAGCAGCCAATGAGCTGGAACTTCTCCTGGAGCAGATAGACACTGAAACCATCACTACATCCTCTTTCCTTTGACTACAGCCACAGACGTAACCAGAGTGGGATGCAGACAACAGAGGCCACAAGCATCCACCTACAGCACAACCCACAGACTGACGCAGCTCCTCAGTTCTGCACTGATTCCCAAGCAGGTATTGCAGCACTGCAGGGCATAGGTGCACTTCTCACAAAGCTGTTCTTACACCAGCTTTGAGTTTAACATAAATACAAAGACATCTCCTCTTTAACAGACCTGATCACAGCTGCAAGTCCTCCAACAGTTTCACCCACCCAACTGGTGCTGAGGATCAGCAGATGAGGTTCTTTGAGGTGCTGCACGCTCTGCCTCATTGACACTGCTTCATATTTACAGCACAGCAACCTCATGTACGCACAACCTGACCCTACCAGTTGGTGTCTGTCTATACAGACTTACCCAAACAGACTTGTTCCTGATAATGTGAACGTGCAGTGCATCACAACAGTGCAGAGCCAACCCACTATTTAGTGCCGAGACACTTAGCTGTGTCATCCTGAACATTCATCTTCCTCTCCTGCCCAAGAGGTAGGTGACCAAGGCAGCATCATCAGACGCTGCTCCCAGAAGGAGCTGCAGGAAAGCAGCACAAGTTTCTGTGTTGCCAAAGCTGCTTCTCTGTGCACAGAGCAGTCTGGATACTATTTGGTTCACCATCTGTTGTGCCCTGACGGCATCAGTTGCTCCCACAGTACCAGATGTACCCACAGGATGGCAAATCCCAAAGTATTTTAATGGCCCCCACCACAACTACACCTCCAGATCCTACTTAAACACAACTGAAGTGAGTTTCTCTCTAGGCAAGACCTGCTGCAGTTCAATGAGCAGATGACAAGATATCAGTGGTGGCCTCCAAGATGTTAAGTACCTCAATTCAACTTTCTATTAAGTTTAACTTAGGAGCAGACATTCAGTCCTTGAGAAATTTTATCACTAGAGCTCTGTGCCACACCTACAAACATCCCCAGTTGGAAGGGGAAACAGCGATGTAAAATCATACCCTCCCATAGCATAGTTTGACAGCACAACATCACAAACTCACACCCCACTGAAGTGGCTGGATGTCAGCCCAACAACTGCACGCCCTCCCCTGGATCTCTAAGAGAACAATCATGGCAATCAGAACTGTCCAAAACTGATGACAGCACTGGATAAGTTTATTCTCGGCAACCAAATGAATACAAGTGTTGGTCATCTTGACAGTATCTGCCAAACATCTGCCAAATCCTTGTTCCAACACTTGGCTGCAACAAACAGCACTGCAGGTCATTTTTGTAAAGCCTGAAACAAGGCAGAAGTAACACATTTTACAGAGATTTCCATGTAAACATATGGTCATCTCAGTGCACACGTAACTTGGTAGATAACTGCAGTGTGTGTGAGCTGCGCTCTGAAGTTTGCCAAGCATGAATACCAGAACCTAACAAACCTTTCCAGCACTGAGCACCTTCACTAAGTTCACAGACAGCATCAAGTTGGGGGAAGCATCGATCTGCCTGAGGGTAGGAAGGTGCAATGGAGGGAGCTAGGCAGGCTGGTTGCTTGGCTGAGGCAGATGGGATGAGCTTCAGTGAGACAGAGTGTTGAGTGCTGCACTTTGGTCACAACAGCCCCATGTAATGCTGTGGGCTTGGGGCACAGCAGCCAAGAGCTGTGAAGAGAAGGACCTGGGGCTGATGGTGACACTTGGCTGGATGCGAGCCAGCAGGGTGCCCAGGTGGCCAAGAAACCCCACGGCACCCTGGCTGTGTCAGCAGCAATGCCTGCAGGAGGTAACCATCCCTCTGTGCTGGCACTGCTGGAGCTGCACATCAGTGCTGTGCTCAGCCTTGAGCCTCTCACTGTGAGATATACATGGAAGGTCTGGAGTGTGTGCAGAGAAGGGAACAGAGATGTGAGGGATCTGAAGCACAGTGCTGGGGAGCGGCTGAGGGAATGGGATGGGTCCACCTGGAGAAGAGGAGCTCAGGAAAGACCTCACTGTTCTCTACAAAGGCCTGAAAAGAGGTCGTGGGGAGGTGGGAGTCGGCCTCTGCTTTTGTGATAGGATGAGAGGTGATGCCCTCAAGTTGCACCAGGTCAGGTAGATCATCTCAGATCATCTCAGGTTAGGAAGATCATCTCAGAATCAGCAGTGATGCAGTGGCAGAGGCTGCATAGGGAGTGGTGGAGTCACCATCCCCACTCCATCCCTACTCCAGGTACTCCAGAACCATGGGGAGGTGGCATTGAGGGCCACGGTCCATCAGCAATACTGTGGTGGGTGGATGGTTGGACTGAATAATCTCAGAGGTCTTTTCCAACCTTATTGATTCTCTGATTTCCCCAAAAGAACAGCATGGCCAAGCACACAGCCTACAGGTGTAAATCAACCCTGTGAGGACTAACACCACATTTCAGACACCCGTGAGGCTGTTGGCCACAGTCAGCAGCTGGTGTTGCCCTTCCATTCAGAAAGAAAGGCCGGGTGAGAGCACCGGCTGGCAGGTTGGGTTTTAAGCACAGAACGCTTTCGGATTGAAGAGGAAAAGCACCCAAACCCAACAACAACAGATGATGTAACCGCACAGCTCTCACTAACAGATGCCGTTCAGGAAGCAATAACTCATTAACCGCACAGATTACTATATCACAAATATGTCACGCTCACCCATAACACTTAATCAAGCTCAAGAACTTAATGATTTAATTCAAAAATCGTTCATCACCGGCATTAAACCACCGCTCGCTCCGAGCGCTGACCCGGACGCAGCACAACGGGCAGCCGGCCGGCCGGACTCCCACACGGCGCCGTTTCCAACCGCGATGAACGCAGAACGTCCCGTCCATCCCCCCCCCCCCCAACCCCCCGATGCCCCGCGCGGCCCAAAGGCTCAACGCTCCGCCTCACCGCACCGGCGGCCCCGCACCGCTACGCCGCGACAGCTTCCCCCCCCCGCCGCATTCCGCCAACTCCCGCCGCACTGAAGTCTCGCAACGACCTCACCGCGCTGAGAGGCCCCTCGCCGCGGCCCGTACCTGACAGAAGCCGCGGCAGTAGGCCCGGGACGACGCCTCCGACACTTCCTGCTCGCACAGTTCCGTCTGCAGCTGCCACAGCCGGCCCCGCAGCGCCGCCACCAGCCGCGCCATCTCGGCCCGCGGAGCCGCCTCGGCCTCAGCGTCCGCCATCTGCGCTCGGCCCCGCCGCGCGTAGGCACGGGTCACGTGACGGCGCCGCCGACCTCAGCGGCCCGGGACGGCGGCACGTGATGCGCACGTGATGCGACGCACAGCGGCGCTGAGCACGTGAGCGGAAATAGCGCAAGGGTACGGGATGAGCTCTTCCGGGGGCAGCCGGAAGCGTGTCGCTGCGGGGTGAAGTCAGTGCGGATGTGAGGGGGTGGCAGATCGTAACGGCGCCGATGACGTCACAGCCCTAACATCGGAGTTGTCGCGTGTTGTGAGGTATTTCGCCGCGTTTGTGGGGGTGCATCCGTAATTCTGCGCCCGCGCGGAAATAAAAGGTGGAGGAAATGCCTGATGGAGTCCGTTCAGGTGATGGTGCGTGAAGGACCTGGGGGTCTGGGTGGAGAGTGCTCTGGGTGGAGAGTCCCGGCGGCTCTGGGGGCTGGGGTGGCCAGCAGGGACAGGGAGGGGGTTGTCTCTCTCTACTCTGCGACCGTGAGGCCCCATCTGCAGTACTGTGTCCTTCGTATTGGAGCCCCCAGTACAAAGAGAGCTGTTGGAGAGGGTTCAGAGGAGCCACAAAGATGATCAGGTGACTGGAGCACCTCCCCTACAAAGACAGGCTGAGGGAGCTGGGCTTGTTCAGCATGGAGAACAGAAGGCTGCGGGGTGACCTCATTGCAGCCTGCAGTACCTAAAGGGAGCCTAAAACAGGAGGGGAATCAACTCTTCGAAAGGGGAGATAACAGCAGGACAAGGGGAAATGGTTTGAAGTTGAGGGAGGGATTTAGGTTGGATGTCATGGGGAAGTTCTTTGCTATGAGTGGTGAGGTGCTGGAACAGCTGCTGAGAGAGGTTGTGGATGTCCCGTCCTTGGGGGTGTTCAAGGCCAGGTTGGATGGGGCCCTGGCAGCCTGGGCTGGTATTAAATGTGGAGGTTGGAGGCCTTGCATGTGGAGATTCATGATCCTTGAGGTCCCTTCCAACCCTGGCCATTCTGTGGAGGCAGGATGAGGGGCTTCCCTATGTTTGGGGCTGTACTCAGCTGAGCACTCCAGGCACAGGGGCTCTCCCCCCTAGGAAGCAGTGTGTGGCCGTCGGCTCCCAGCAGCCCTCTGGGAGGGTCCCAGGACGGAGCTGTGGGGCGTGGTTGTGAGGTAGTAATTAGGCAGCCGAGAGGGAGCACTATCAGGCAGTCATGGGGGCAGAGATATGGTGCAGAGCCATGGGACTGGGGTCACCTACAGGCCGGGGTTGGGAGGGTTCAACGGCATGAGAGTGAGCTGTGGGAATGGGGCCGTGGCCATTGGTCTGGATCCAGCTTCTTCTGTGGGTCAGGGTTTGGAGCTGGGGGAGAGTAAGGGTTGTGTAATATTGTCTCCTCTGGGCAAGTTATGGGAAATGGGAGTGGTTGAACACAGTCTATCCCCCTCCCCACAGGTGGGGCCTTGTTAAGTCTGAAGCTCATTAAGCACAGTGATGCTAATGAGCTCTCCCAATGGTACCCCAGAAGTCCCACCATCCCATACTGCCCCATCTCAACCACCCATGGAAGCTCACAAAACTGGGAGAGGCGCAACTTTATTCGGTGGGGGGGGGGAGGTTACAGATTGGGGTAGGAGGGTCCAATTGAGCTCCTATAGGAGTCCAATGGCCAGGACCTTTGGGGGGAGTCCTGCCGTGGTGGGGAGTCACAGGGGGGTGAAGCGCAGGACCCCCCCCAGGTGTCGCCTTAACCAGGGCTGAATGCGGAAGAGGCTGATGGCGAAATCCCTGGGGTGGTGGCCAGGGGGGGCTGAGGCACGGAGCAGCCCCCCCTCGGCATTGCGGCCCCCCCTGTAGCATGGATTGAAGGTGCCCCAGCTCAGGACCCCCACCTGCAGGGAGGGGGAGATTGGGGAGCCCCAAATGGGTGGGTGGGAGGAGTTGGGGGGGGGGATTCAGGCCCCCCCTATAGCACTCACCTGGAGGAAACGGTGGCGGCGTTCCACAAAGAGGGAACCACCAGATTCACCTGGGAACGTTTGGGGACATTGGAGTATGGGGATATGGGGACAGTACAGTGACATGGGAACAATATGGGGGCATGGGAGTGTGGCGATGGGGATATTTGGGGCCTTCACACACACCTTTGCAGGCTGCATCCTCCTGCTCACTGCTGCTCTCCTGCCCACTGCACAGGAACCGTTCTGTCACCACATCCTTCACAGAGGCATTAGCGTGGGGCATCCCAGGCTGCACTGCACCCGTCAGGCAGGAGGCACGCTGTGGGGCAGAGCCACGCTATGGGGCAGGATCCTGCTGTGGGGCAGAGCCCTCCTTGGACTCTTCCTTGTTGTGGAGGGTGTTTGGGGCCCACTATGGGGTAGAGCTGCGCCTTGGGGCAGCCCCACACCTCCTCCTGCTCCTTGATCCTGACGCTCAACCTCTTGCCCTCCAGTGACACAAACTCGGCGGGGACACGAGTGTGGCCCAACAGCTCCACCTCTGGAGGACATTTGGGGACATGGAGATAATATGGGGATGTATGGGGGGGCCGGGGACATGGGGATGGTGACAAAGGGATATGGGACATTGTGAAATTTGGGGATACTGGAACAAAATGAAGACTTTTGGGGACGATGTGGAGATGGGGAAATGGGGATGTAGGGATAGGGAGACAATAGTGGGGGGATACAGACACAGGGATGTGAGGCACTGTGACATTTGGCAATATGAAGAGTGTGGGAACGGAGATACAGGGAGGTGGGGATGATGTTGGGTGCCCCACCTTGCTTCTGGCATGTGGTCCCTGGTGCCATTCTCAGAGCTCTGTTTGCATCCTCAGTGCAGGGTATGCAGATGCGCCTTTTTTGGGGGGAGGAATTAGATTTCTTAGGGGGGTCAGAAACCCCTCAACATCAACCTGCCCCCCCTCCCCAGCCCCACTGTCCCACTCACCTGGGGACCCCTGTGTCTCCCACCTCCTTCTCCAGCTCCACCAGGGCCACATCATAGTCGTAGAATTCAGGGACCCCCTGTGCCGCCCTCCCCCGGATATCAAAGTCCTCGTGGAGGTTCCACCCCCGGATGGAAACCTCCTGACCCCCTGCTGCAGACCCCCAAAAATGGGAATCGGGGGGGAGTCCCAATGGGGGTGGAGAGGTCCTGGATTTTGGGATCCCAGTGGGCTGGGGGGGGCTGTGGGATCAGGATGAAGGAGTCCCCACTTTTGGGGCCTTACCCAGCTCGGCGCTCCAGTCGTGGGGGCTTTCACCCCCCAGGAAGCAGTGGGCAGCCGTCAGCACCCAGCGGCCTCCCAGAAGGGTCCCTGCACAACGCTGCTGCACTCCAGTCTGGGAAAGTAATGGGGAAGGGGATGCAAGAACACGGGGTCTGCACTGGAATCCCCTGTCCCCACTGGGTCCTCCCATCCCCAACGGACTCCTCCACCCCCAATGATCCTTCATGACCTCCCCCCAGGCCCTAAGGGATCCCAACGATCCGTAATGGATCCTCCCAACCCCAGTCATTCCCCAATAAATTCCCCCCATCCTCACTGGATCCCTCAATCCCCAATGGTTCCTCCCTCCATCCTCAACGAATCCCCAGTAAATATCCCTTTGACCCCCAACATTCCCCGGAGGATCCCTCATCCAAGATGGTACCCAAAGCATTCTCCTCCATCCTCAATTACCCCTAGTGGATCATCTCCAACCCGAACAGATCCTCCCCAGTGCCCACCCTCAGTACAACGTGCCACGGTGGTCGGGCAGTGCCAGCAGGGATGATGACACCGCAGAGATCCCCGATGGCAGTGGCAGTCAGAGCCCCCTCCAGTGCCTGGCGCAGTGCCGATGCATCTGCCAGCTTGAAGGCATGGCGCTCGTCCCGGCGGTGCGAGGCCACTGCCTCCAGCTCGGCCATGTCCACCTCCAGGGTCCCCACCCCAAAAGCATAGATGTCTGGGGGTGAGAGGTCAGGGGGTGAGAAAGGGGGCAGGGGACACCTGGAGCGGGGTTTGGAGAACCTGAGTTGGGATTGAGTGCACTGAAGGTGGCTGAAGGCCTCAGAAGTGGGGTCTGGATGTCTCACATGAAAATTGGAGCACGTAGAGCAGGGCTTGGGGCATCTAGAACAGGGTTCAGGGCACTGCAACAGGGTTAAGGGCCCCCAGAATGGGGTTTGGGCCATCTGTCACAGGGTGTGATCATAAGTACTGGGTTAGAGGCACCAAATCGAAGGTTGGTGACCCAGGATGGGGCACTGGCCCTGGAGATAGCAGTAAACCAGGGTACTGACCCCACTGCTGGTGCAACAGCAAATAGTGGCCAGGGCAAAGGGACACTGGGGGCAGGGATGTGGAGACAGGATGGCCTCCAGATGCCCAAAGCCCAACTCAGGTCCCCAGAACCACTGAGGACACCTCAGCCCTATTCCTCAGCTCTCCAAAGCCACTCCCAAGGTCCCCAAACGCTACCTTGATGTCCCCACTCCCCCATCCATATCCCCATTGGTGTCCACATGGCCCCGCGGATGTCCCCAGTCTAGATCTGAGGTTCCCCCAAATCACCTTTGAGGTGCCCAGTTCTACCTCAGGTGTTCTCAAACCCCAACTGAGATCCTCAAATCCACTTCAGAGATCCACAAAGCCAACCTTAGTGTCCCCATTTCCCCGCTGGTGTTCCCACACACCCACCCAGGTACTCCTCGCGGTCCTCTCTGATCTCCAGCACATCCTCAATCTTGGCCACCGCATCCCGGGGATGTCCGCCAACGTTGAACCTCCCTAAGGGGCAGCAGATGGAGCTCAGCCCAGCCCCACAGCACCCACCCAAGCGCTGTCCCCTCATTGTCCCCACCATCTGTCAGCAGGATGACGACATGCCGCGTGTTCCTCCACGCGTTGGGTTGGCCGTCACGCGTTGACCGCTCCTTTTGGAAGAGGATCATGTGGTAGACCTCCAACAGCGCCCCGTGCATGTTGGTCCCCGTTGCGTTCCTGTGCACTGAGGGGACAACACCATGTCACTGTGTCCCCAGTGCGTTCCCAACTTTGGGGTCGCCCACTGTGGGGATGTACCACCAAAGTTCATGGCCTCCAAGCGCGCGATGACTTCGTCAGCATCGGAAGCGTCGTCTTCGATGGTGGAGATGATGACATGCGTGTGGGTGGCGAAGGAGACGATGGCAAACCTGAGGGGCACCTCGAAGCTGCTGAGCTGTGGGGCAGCAGGGGGATGAGGACAGCTCAGGGCACCCATTCCAGACCTCCAACCTGTAGGACCTACCCCCTTGGTCATATTCCATCTCCTCGGGGTCTCATCTCATCCCATCATTGGTCCCTGTGGTCTTACCCTCATCCCGTGGTCTCACCCCATCTCCTCATCTCTCCATGATTCCCCTATGGTCCCACCTGTTCTCCCCATGGTCCTACCCCATCTCCCCTCCCCATCCCCTGTGGTCTCCCCATGGTCCCACCCTGCTGTCCCCTCGCACCCGATCCACGATGGCCACCGCGCTCTGCCGGAAGAGCTCAAAGTTGTCCTGTTGGACGCTGCCAGAAGCATCCAGAAGCACGTAGACATGGAGGGACTCATTGCGGCTCAGTACAATGCGGCGTCCCAGGGACATGTCTGTCACCACAGTGTCACTGTGAGGTCATTGTGATGATGTCACTGTGGTGTCACCACAGCATCCCCCAGCTCACCATTGTCAGCGTGGGCACCCGCCAGCTCCAGGATGGAGGCAAAGGAAGAGCCAAGGCCACTGCTGATGTCCTCAGGGAGGTCGAAGGAGTAGGGGTCTGTGGGGACATTCAGGGATGTGGGAAATTGTGACATTTTGGGGAAGTGGGAACGTGGAGACAATATGAGGACATTTGGGAACATTATGGGGATGTGGAGATGTGGGGACGCTTGGGGACATGCAGACATTTGGGTACTTAGGAACGTGGGTATCTGGAACGCAGGAAAAAGGGAATAATATGAGGATATTTAGGGACATGGGAATATGGCACATGGGGATACAGGACATGGGGATTTTGGGGGACACGGGGGTATTTGGGGACATGGATATATGGGACATATGAGGACCTGGGGACATGGGGACACAGTGCCACTCACGGCGGCAGGTGGGTTCAGGCCCGGACCACCTCCCAGTCTCCATGCAGTGGCGCCGGGAAGGTCCCAGAAGCTGCAGCCCTGCCCCACAGTGCACCCGAACCTCGGCTCCATGGTGCCGTCCCCCACCCGTTGTCACCCCCCCCGCTGGTGTCGCAGGGGGGGGACAGTCACCTTCTAGGGGGAGAATCAGTGGAGGTAGCCCTTGACCCCCTCCCCAAGGGACCCACACACCTCAGAGGGATGACCCCCAACCCCATAGGAATCCCCCCATCTAACTCCTATCTCCCCTCCCTGCCAGGCCCTTAGGGTCTCTTGACAAACTCCAAGGACCCCATAACCCCTCAGATATTTTTTCCTTTCCCCTCAGCCCCACAGGGACCACTGAGTCCCTCCCAAGCAACCCACCTATCCATCCCATGAAGACTCCACACACCAGCCCCCCCAATCCCCCAGACTCATGTTCCTTACCCCCCCCTCAGCCCTATAAAGACCCTCCAACCCCCGTCGTCCCCCCCATCCTCCTGAAGAATTTTGGGGACTCTATGAGGAATTCTGGGGTCTGTAAGAGGAACTTTACACCCTTCCTACCCCTCTCCCCCCCCCCCCCGAGGTTTTTTGGAGCGTCATTGAGAGATTTGGGGGTGATGATAAGGGCTCTGCCCACACTCTTAACATCCCCTTCTGGAAAGGATTTTGGGGCCCTTATGAAGGATTTTAGGGCTTTTGAGGTATTTGCCCCATCCCACAGATATATTTCACCCCCTCTTCAGAAGAACTTCGGGAACTCTGTGGGGATTTTGCCACCCCCAGAAGGATGTGGGGGCTTTTATGTGAGGGATTTTGCCCTCACACCAGAAGCATTTGGAACTATCTATAGAAGATTCTGCCCCTCCTCACAAGTATATTGGGGTATATACAGGGATTTGGGGAGCTCCCAAGAATTTTGGGGCATTTAAGACAATTTTAAAGACTTTGAGGGATTTGGGTGCCTTGTTGAAGATTTCTGGGGTCTCTTTGAGGGATCTTGAGGTCTCCCAGGGATATTTTGGCTCCGCAAAATAATTTTGGGGCATTTCCTGGAGGCTTGGGGGCCTTTTGGAGGGATTTCGGGCCCTTTCGATGGGTTTAAGGCTTCTCCCACTCACCGCCGTCGTCGCACACGGGGGGGGCGTCGCTCCAGACACCCCCGGGTCTGCAGCGCAGTTCCGCGGCCCCTCGCAGCACGAAGCCGTCGTCGCACGAGAAGCGGAGGACGCTGCCGGAGGGGTACGTGGGAAAGCGCGGCTCCACGGTGCCGTGAGGGAAAGAGAGCGGCGCGGGGCAACGGAGCGCTGCGGGGGGTGAGGGGAGGCAGTGAACCCCACAGCAAAACGGCCCCGGGGTTCTGTTTCCCCCTCGGACCCCATTTCCGGCGGACCCCTGTGGAAATGCCCAATTGCGGGGAACCCCAAACGCAGGAAAATCATTTTTTCATCAGTTTCCTACCCGGCCCCTATTGGAAGTGCACTCACTTCCTGCCTAGCCCGGAATTCGCCCGCCACTTCCGACCCCCAACCGGAAGTTGACCTCCCGCAACCTATTTCGCACCTCGGCACCGGACGGGCTCCGAGCGGCCCTTCGGGGGACCGCAGCGCTGCCGTGTTCGGCCCGGGGGGTGCGGGTAAGTGCCAGGGGGGCACTGCGGGGCGCAGCGGGGGGAGGCGGAGGGCGTCACGGGGAGCACCGCGAGGAGCAGCAGCACCCACAGAGCCATAGCCGGGAACTGAGGACCCCGAGGGAGAAACGCGGGGTTAACGGGGCCGGGGGAATGGGGGGGGCAAAGGGAAGGCCCTGCCCTCCGCCAGGGGCGGCTCTGCGCTGTGGGTCCGCCCCCGGGGCCTAACGGAGGGGGGCGTTGCTAAGGGAGCGGTGCGGCGCAGGACGATGACGTCATCACCACCGTCCTGTTGCGATGATCTCTGAGTGACAGCGAGGCGCGAGGGGGCGAGGATGAGAAGGGGGGAGGGGGGGGGCGGCAGCGATGACGTCACGACGGCTTCTCTCCCCGGGTTGAGGCCCACGTGATCTCCCAGTTCTCCCCCAGTGCCCCCATTATCGCCAGTTTCTCCACACTGTTCCCAGTTTTTCCTTCCTGTTACCCCACGTAGCCCCCGCTGATTCCAGTTTCCCCCTGTTAACCCCATTGCCCCCATCACCCCAAGTGTCCCCAGTTCCCCCACTGCCGCCCCATTCTCTCATTGCCCCCATTAACCCCATAGAGCCGAATTTCCTTGAGAATGGATCTGGTTACGTGGTATGTCCCAGCCAACATGAAATATTTCCTTGAACTAGCAAGTATGGAGAAAGGTGAGGAGCAAGGTCCGTCTGCACATCTGTCTGCAGGGGATGTGCCTCTAAACTTTGACTCGATCCTATCCTTAACTTTCTGCTTTGTATAATACTCCATTTGTACACATGGACGAAGCTTTTTCCTCCACTCAAATCAAGGTTTTTCAGACAGGTGGAGTTTGTGTTTAGAGGGATGGGCATCTCTGTCACATGGGAGAGAAATACATTTGCTGATGACACTCTCCAGCCCAACAAAAGTAGTGCTGTCTTGTACTTTCTTGGCCAGATTCCTTCCAATGTGGTCACTGTGGTCCCACTTGAGGCTAAGTGAAGTGTCCACACAACCACAACTCCACGTTACATACAGTGCCACTCTATTTTGCTTTCTTAACCAAGGATTTCAAGTCTCATGTTGGTTCCAAGTGCCACTTAACAAAGCAGGGCATTTTATGATCCTTTCCATTTCCCCATTCAGATTTATCTTTCCACATTGGTACCCAAAGTCCAGGCCCTACCAAAGATCACGAATTCGTATCGGTAGTAAAATGACTGCAGCAACAGGGATGGGTAATCTGGTGTACAAACCACCTTCACTGTGTGTTCGTTGTCATGCAAATATGTGATCATTCAGCGTAGGCTTCAGCGCAGCGTTTTTCATTGAGGCATTTCCTTCTTTATTTTGAGAATTCTCAGAAATACAAAGAAAATGTATTTAAAGAAATAATAAATAAATATAAGAATGCATGGCAGCATAAAAGTAGTAAAAACAGGGACATTCCCAATGCCAACATGCACACCTTCCTATGGAGTGTGTTAATTGCATACTTTCTTGCATGGGAAAGAACCATATGACCAAGACCTAAAACAGTGAATTTCCTGAAGAAAGTATTTCTGAATTGTCAGGATTCAGTGAATCCCTTCAGTTCTGGAAGAATTCTGTAGCTCATAAATAATGGATCTTGTTATTTTGACTTGCCGTGGAAGCAGGTGATTGTGAAGGTAGGTGTGAATGTGATCACTGTCATCTTCTTTGCTGCTGTGCCAGCTAACAGTGAAGCTTTGTTTTTTTCTTTTGAGGTGGGTGCTGAGTTGAACTGTGATTGTCATCCCCTCATGGCTGGCAACTGGGAAGGCATCACTGGAGAAGGAGAACCACAGGCAGACTTTGGAGAATGGTGAAAGGAGAGGTAAAAAGCTTTGAGTATCTTGGTAAGTTCCCTGCTGCTACTTGGATGCTTGGTTGCTGTTTGATGCCCACGATTTGAATGTTTCTCAAACCAGGCGACGTGAATAATTTAATGAATTTTAGACCAATGGAAAGAAGACTCAATGCACACAGTGATTGAAGTACTGCCCTTTGGGAGTTAGAAGAGCAAAACGCAGCCACTGGTTGCAGAGAGAGATGAAAGAAAGAGGTGGTTTGCCAGTTCTCAATGGGTAAAAGGCTGAGAACAGTACAGTTCTCAATGGGAAAAAAAAAACAACACTCAGATAAGTGAAAATCTCTTCTGGAGTAGTTTGTCACAGGTGCCTCCACAAGCTCATGATCTGCCAACTAAAGGCAATCATGAATCATTTCCCAGAATAAATATCTTCATTTTATGTGTTATTCTTATGCTCTGCTCTCAGTTTTATTTTCATGGAATACAAAATCCCTCCTTCTCGTGTGATTCCTTTAATGGCATCTGAAGTATCATATTTGCCTATGCAGCTTCAACCTGTACAGACAGAGTTTGAGTGATCTGAAAAGAAACTTTCTTTTTGCAGAGAGGAATTGTGCTGGTGATTTCTGCAGGCTTACAAATATCTGTTACCTGTAGCCCATGTCACAAGCAATTGCAGCCATCTTAGGACTCGACTTCCCACCATCAAGGTGGGTGACAGATGGTGTTGGAAGTGAGGTGTGCGTGTCCTGCACCTCAGAAAAACACTGCAGGCTTCCAGCCATCTGTTGGGCTTAATTCTTAACTGGCCTGCTCCCTTTGGCATCCTCTGCTGCTCAACATGGAGGTATAACATGCAGCTGAGGGCTGGGAAGAGAGCAGAAGTTAAGTGAGAGTGACAGGGCACCATCCAGAACCACCTGGGGGAATGGAAAGACGTCAACATTTGTTCACTTTTTCTCTCTCTTTCAGGATCTGTTGCAAAATGTGAAAATGAAAGGGGGAAAGTCTACAGGTAGCACTGATCCCAGACAACCTTTGTATCGTGTGTGTTTGCCTGGTAAGTTTGCATTTCAGATCACACGTGAATAAACACAGCTCAAGGCCCAAACGGGTGACTGGCCCACGAGAAAGAACTTGTGGCAGCTTGGGAACACACATACACTGCCTCTTCCTTCTGTACATAGCAAGAAGAAACTTGTTTGTGAGCAACTGCTCTGCAGCTGTAACCAGGTCTCCCTGCTTGCTGTGAATGCTGCTTTCTTGTCTCCTGCTGTCATAAATACAGCACTGAGGGGTGGTGTGGGCACTCTGCTGGCCAGCTGCCCCTACCAAGGTGAGTGCCTCTCTCTTAAACTGATGGATATTAACTTGCCTCCACGTATTTTCTTTGGGATTGATAAACCTTAAGCAGAAGCACTGGCCTGGTTTGTCATCACTGAGTTAAGACTCAGCTCGTTAGCTGGTGCCACCTGCAGCAAGGTGAGAGTGGGACTGACGCTGAAGGAGTCACGGATGCTTGTGCTGCTGTTCTCTGTGGCAGCCTGGTTTAGCATATTAACTCATTGCTTCGTGCCAGCAGTAGTAGAGAGAGCTGAAAGCCAAAGCAGTCAGATATTTTAGGTTTAGGTTGGATATGAGGAGGAAGTTTTTCACCCAGAGGGTGGTGAGGCACTGGCACAGGTTGCCCAAGGAGGCTGTGGATCCCCATCCCTGCAGGCATTCAAGGCCAGGCTGGATGTGGCTCTGGGCAGCCTGGGCTGCTGGTTGGTGACCTGCACACAGCAGGGGTTGGAGCTGGATGAGCGCTGTGGGCCTTTGCAACCCAGGCCATCCTCTGATTTTATCAAGTTAGTAGGTGTGGGTGTTGTGATAACAACTAGAAACACAAGGAGCTTAATTGGCAGTGACCCCCCACAGTGAAAAGGTCAGATTTGTTGGGGCTTTGACTTCCTGGTTATTGGGGTTCTTTGCAAAGATCTGACTTCCTGGAGTTTCATTTTGTAATGTTTCTGTCTTAATAAACAAAGGTGTGCTTTTTTGTAACATAAAGGAGGATGCAGGAGAGCAGTTCAGAACTATCAGGTGTGTGTGCATACATTTGTGCCGCTTCATTAACGTAACACTGGAGAATATGAGCAGAGTAATTACAGAAAAAGAAACAGCACCCATACAACAAGCTGTTGGAACATTTCCTTCTGTCTTTCAAATATGCAGTTGCATTAGTTATCTTATCTGCACTGAAATAAACATTTGAGAAATGCAGTGTGAACCTGGAGAGCTATTTCTTTGTTTTTGTAACAGCTAAAAAGATACTTCAGCATGGAGGAATCTTTCTTGCCTTTCTCCTGCTGCACTCTGCTACCTGACGTGTTGTAATACAGAATTTCCTTTAGGTAGTGATTGAGTGCAGATGATACACGTAGCTGAAGAGCATGGCTCTGTCCTGGAATGGACAGCTGATGTAAATGTACACCTTCACCTTCCAAAGACACTTCCTTTGAACAGCATCCTGTGCTTTATGGGTGCTCACAGATTCATTATAACAAAAGGAGCTGCTCAGCACAGAGCTGTAGCAGTGGACACCTCTTCCTAAGCAGCACCAGGGCTGTACCCATGGGGTTGTTCCCCAGTGTCTCCTTACTTTTCTAGGGTGTTATCCTGACTTTTTGCCTCCTCCCACCTTCCCATTGGCACTGCAGGAGATGAGGTGGAAGAGCAGCAGTTCCTGGCAGGCAGGCAGGCAGTGTTTTGTCTGCTTCCCGCTGTTATGCAGAAGATGATAAAGAAAGATTCCCATCTCGTGGAGGGAAGAAACTCAAACCCTATGTTCAGAAAAGGAGCCACTGGACCGAAACTCTCAAATGCAATTAGCAGAAAGAGCTGCCCTCCTTACCATAGAAGGGGAAATGCATGGCAGCGAGCTGCTGGCCCTGCTCACAGCTGCTGCTTCCCATTAGGGCTCCTCTTTGCAGTCACATGAGGCCACAACAGGCTTGAAAGGTGAGCCTGGATGAAACTGATGAGGTTCAACACAGCAAAGTGCACTTGGGTCAGGGGAATCCCAGGCATCCACACAGACTGGAAGGAGCAGTCCTTGAGAGCAGCCCTGCAGTGAAGGACCTGGGGGTCCTGATGGATGAAAAGCTGAACATGAGCCAGCAGTGTGCATTGCAGCTCAGAAAGCAAATGGCATCCTGGGCTCCATCAGAAGAGGGGTGGCCAGCAGGGACAGGGAGGTGATTGTCCCCCTCTGCTCTGCTCTTGTGAGGCCCCATCTGCAGTGCTGTGTCCAGGTTTGGAGCCCCCAGTACAAGAAAGACAGAGAGCTGTTGGAGAGCCACAGAGATGATCAGGGGGCTGCAGCACCTCCCCTACGAAGACAGGCTGAGGGAGCTGGGCTTGTTCAGCATGGAGAACAGAAGGCTGCGGGGTGACCTCATTGCAGCCTGCAGTACCTAAAGGGAGCCTAAAACAGGAGGGGAATCAACTCTTTGAGAGGGGAGATAACAGCAGGACAAGGGGAAATGGTTTGAAGTTGAGGGAGGGGAGATTGAGGTTGGATGTCAGGGGGAAGTTCTGTGCTATGAGAGTGGTGAGGTGCTGGAACAGCTGCCCAGAGAGGCTGTGATGCCCCGTCCATCCCTGGAGGTGTTCAAGGCCAGGTTGGATGGGGCCCTGGGCAGCCTGGGCTGGTATTGAATGTGGAGGTTGGTGGCCCTGCATGTGGCAGGGGGTTGGAGCTTCGTGACCCTTGAGGTCCCTTCCAACCCTGGCCATTCTGTGATTCTGTGGAACTCTTCAATGGCACAGATGTTCCAGCATCTTCCCATGCCATCCACAGCAAGGTCCTGGACCCCCAAAGAGCATCCCAGGGCACGAGGCCGGACCTGGGCTGGTTTTCCTTAACCGTGTGGTTTTGCATCTGAAAAAAATGGCCCATCCTGGGCCTTTCTGTGATTCTGTGCAACGACTCCCCCGACCCCCCCGTGCTGAGCCGTGCCGCCCCGCAGCGCCGCTCTCCGGTCACATCCCACTCCCACGGCGGCCGGCAGGGGGCGCTGCAATGCGGGGCGGGGCCGGGCCGGGCGCTGCGGGCTCCGGGCGGCGCCATGAAGGACTGCGAGTACCGGCAGATCCCGCCCGGTGCCGCCGCTCCGGGCCCCGCCGTTTCCCCGCCGCCCGTTGTACCGGAGCGTCCAGGCGAGAACCGGCGGCCCCGACGGAAATGGGAGGTGTTCCCGGGCCGCAACCGCTTCTATTGCGGCGGCCGGTTGATGCTGGCGGGGCACAGCGGAGTCTTCGCCCTCACGCTCGGTCTCATCCTGGCCACCAGCGCTCTGTTCTTCGCTTTCGAGTGAGTCCGCGCAGCCCCCAGCGCCGCTTCGCGTCCGTCGGCCGGCGGTGCCCGCTGTGCGGTGCGAGACATCGCGTCCGTCCTTCCCGTTCTGCGCGTGAGCTGCCGGGACCCGGAGGAGGAAAAAGAGGAGGAGGAGGCAGCGCTGAGCTCGGAGTCCTTTCCGTGCCGGTTGTTCGGGGGATGCGCGGTGCCGGGCAGCCGAGCTCGGTGCTGAGCCCTCCCGAAGCGGAGGAAAACGAGCGCTCCTTTCCCTCTCCGCTTTGGGCAGAGCTCATGCCGTGCTTCATCCCTGCTTAACCCGAGCTGCGGGGGAGAGGGGGGTCGGGCTCGGTGACCCCCGTGGGTCCTTTCGTAGTGGGGATATCCTGCGGTTTGGCGATGCTGCGATTGAGGAGGGCAGAGGTTGTGCGGAGCGGCTGGCTCCTGGTGCTGCCTTGGTGCTGGAGAACACGGGGCTGCCCCGCACAGCTCCGGTGCTGCAGGATTTGTGTTACGGGTCGTGATCTGTGCTGGCTCCTGCTGTGTTAGAGGTCTCTGCTTCAGCCCAACCCCCTCCCCGCGGTAATTTGTAGTATGCTGTGTAATAAACGATAGCTGGTTCTGAAGGGATGGGTGGTAACAGTGCTTATATATGTAAGTTGGGGTTTTTTTGGTCATTTCACAGCTGCCCCTTCCTCGCCCGTCACCTGACCCTGGCCATCCCCATCATCGCAGCTGTCCTCTTCTTCTTCGTCATCAGCTGCCTCCTCCAGACGAGCTGCAGGGATCCCGGGATCCTGCCCAGAGCCACCCCCAGTGAGGCTGCAGACCTGGAGAAACGCATCGGTGAGACAGCTGGGCCCTCGGCTGCGGGTGCTTCTGCACGCAGTCTGCTTAGAGCTTTCCTTTCTGCTTTGTCCCGTTGCTTTCCCAGGCAAAGCCCTGTGCCTGTAGCACAGCAGCAAGCCAGGCTGTGGCTCTGTACAGAGCTGAGATGAAGGAGAGCTCACGACATCAGCATCCTGAATGTGGTGCTGTCAGCGGCTGTGCTGCAGCTGGGGGTGCACAAAGTCCCCATTCAGAGTCACAGTGCTGCACTCGTGGAGGCAGACAGGCAGAGCGTTCATCGTCTGTGCCGTAGTTCAGATCTGGGGCTGGGATTTCTGGGGATTTGATTTCCAGTCGAGCCTACAGACCTTGGTTTATTTTCCCTCTCTTGGAAGAGACAGTTCTGTGCTACCTGAGTTCCTCCCCTCTGCCCTTCTGTGACGTGGCTGTAGTGCAGAGGCTCTGACAAGACAGAAAGCTGATGAGGATTAATCAAGCAGCATTTAGAAAGCTGCCGAAAGCAAGAGGCACGCTTGGAAGATAAAAAGCTTCCCTAGATGATGTGCTTATCCCCACATCAGCTGGGATTTGAGGGGAGAACTTGACAGGCAGAATCTCCTGAGTAGGGTTCCTGGATCCAGGAAATGTTTCTAAAAACAAGTAGGGATGAGATCCTCTTTTCTGTTTTCACGGGACAGCTGCGACTGAGCTAAAACTGGTGCTGAGATGGAGGTTGTTGCTGCACAGAGAGTGGTCCCTCAGTCATTTCATCTCAGTGTGAGTGAGGGTGGTCTGTTCTGATGCATGGTCCCATCTCTCACTGCCCTCCCTCCCGCTGGTGTTGGTGGGATCACCTCGCAACAGGAATTTTGCTGTGATGGAACTGAGCTGCCACTCGTTGCTCAGGTCAGCATTGGGAAGATGGAGGGGCTGCGCAGCAGGAGATGAGAGAGCAGGATGGGCCTGGGGGGTGGAATCCACACTTGGGGTGTAGTAAAGGCACTGTGGATTTGTAAGCTGGAAGCACTCAGCCAGAAGTGCAGGGGGGGGGGATGTCCAGTGTTGGGATGCTTTGGAACGCCAGTGTGAGAAGGAGTGGAGCCCTTAATCTGTGCGCTCACTCCAAGTGGAACCATCCCTCCTGGAGGCTTTAGTGGGTTTCAGAGCTGCTTGTGGTAAACCACGACAAACCTCTGCGTAAGCATCCTGCAGATAGTGAGGGCTGGGCTGAGCAGCCTGAGCCCTGCAAGGAGGATGAGGTGAATGGCCAGGGTTGGATGGGAGCTCAAGGATCACAAATCTCCAACCCCCTGCCACATGTAGGGCCACAAGCCTCCCCGTTTAATACCAGCCCATTTAATACCTCCCCATTTAATACCAGGCTGCCCAGGGCCCCATCCAACCTGGCCTTGAACACCTCCAGGGATGGACGGGGCATCACAGCCTCTCTGGGCAGCTGTTCCAGCACCTCCCCACTCTCATAGCAAAGAACTTCCCCCTGACATCCAACCTCCATCTCCCCTCCCTCAACTTCAAACCATTTCCCCTTGTCCTGCTGTTATCCCCCCTCTCAAAGAGTTGATTCCCCTCCTGTCTGTAGGCTCCCTTTAGGTACTGCAGGCTGCAATGAGGTCACCCCGCAGCCTTCTGTTCTCTATGCTGAACAAGCCCAGCTCCCTCAGCCTGTCTTTGTAGGGGAGGTGCTCCAGTCCCCTGATCATCCTTGTGGCTGCTCTGGACCCTCTCCAACAGCTCTCTGTCCTTGTTGTACTTGGGGCTCCAGACCTGGACACAAATGATGTGATGGGCTCAGCCCCCAGCTCTTTGCTTTTCACTGCATCAGTGCCATTGTCTGCTGTGCTGCAGTGCCAGGAAGGTGTGTGCACCCTGACCTTCAGTAAGAAATGCTTTAGCAGAGCTGACATGGAGCATTTCCCATCTGCCCACTGAGGGCAGCTGCAAGGCGATAATTCTGTACTTGACTAAACAAACTGGCTTGAAAATCTTCTCAGAATGGTTATCTGTGTTTCTATTTATAAGTGCTGACAGCAGTAATCTGGCTGCAGATGCTGCCTGCTGCACCAGCTGTTGCTGGTAATATAATCCATTTATTTTCCTCTTACCTTGCTCTGTTACATCTCTATTTTCAAAGCCTTCCCCAGGAGTGGGAAAGGTGCTCTTTCAGGAGTGGCTGAGACAAACAAATAACCCAAAATCGCAGACATGGCACAGAGGTTTTCCAGCTCCCAGTTTTGCTGAGCTGATAATCAGTTTCTAGCTGCCAGCTCCAAGCGCACAACGCACAGGTGAAACGCGCAGCACCTCTGCAAATCCTCAGTTTCACCCACGAGGATAAGGAACCCTTCGTGCCACTGATGTGCAGGGGTCAATGAAATCTTCCTTGGAGCACCTGAGACGTGCTTGCTGTGCTGCTCTGTGATGGGGATGTGCCAATGCCTCGTCGTGCCTGGCAGCGGATTGGGGTCCCGTGGGGTGTCAGCTGGGTCCTGGGGTGGTCAGGTGTCCCCTGCACTGCTCTGACCGTCCCTCCTCTCCCTTGCAGATGCCATGGGGACCTCCACGTACCGCCTGCCAGCCCGCACGATGGAAGTGGTCATCAATAAGTACGTGGTGAAGCTCAAATACTGCTACACCTGCAAAATGTTCCGTCCCCCCCGCACCTCTCACTGCAGCGTCTGCGACAACTGCGTTGGTGAGTCCCGAAAGCAGCAGTTTGCATCCCATGGGTGTAGGGGTGGCTTATGTTCCTGAGCAGACTGCTTTTGCTTTTCACAAGGGGTTATAAGGTGAATAGCAAGAGGTCTGGCCTCTTCTCATTTAAATAGAAGTGGCTCGGGTTGAGGGCTCAGCACATCCAGTGCTCTGTGTCTCTTTCCCCTGCTTTGGAGGGGAGTGTTCCATGATGTGTGGTTTTACTGGAACAGCTGCCCAGAGAGGCTGTGATGCCCCGTCCGTCCCTGGAGGTGTTCAAGGCCAGCTTGGATGGGGCCCTGGGCAGCCTGGGCTGGTATTGAATGTGGAGGTTGGTGGCCCTGCATGTGGCAGGGGCTTGGAGATTCATCATCCTCGAGGTCCCTTCCAACCCTGGCCATTCTGTGATTCTGTGATTCTGTTAAGGCTTCACCAAGCACAATGTTTGCAGCAGGCTCCAAGCTGTCTCTGGCCTCTGGGTGGTACAGAAACTGCTGCAGGTTGTGGTGTAGCTCATCTGTGCGTTCACTCTGTGCCCTCTGGCTGCGGTGGGGCAGGAGGGAAGGAGGACAAGAAAAGCCCCCAAGGCTCCATGCAGCCAGGCCCCGTGCAGGGAGCAGTGTGAGTGGGCAGAGCAGCAGCACAGGGCTCAGTGGCACGAGCAGAGGCTTTGCTCCTTGAGTGAGGCTCCTGGTAGTCCCCCGTGGGGCCCTGCAGCCACGCACTGCACTTCACTGGGGCAGATGGAGCAGCAGAACCCCATGGCTCTGATTAAGTTTGGGAGCTCTCATGTGTTTCGTGTCTGGGGATAGCTGTGGGTGGCTGGGGCTCCTCCTTGCACTGCTGCCTGGAAAGCAGCCACAGGCAGGACAGCATTTGGGGAGGTACAGTCTGGGTGAGCAGGCATGCACTGACTTTGTGTCAGAGTTTTGTTTGTGTTCATGTCCCCTGCAGCAGGGTTACAGCAGTGCTTCAGTCTGCAATCCAGCCCTTTCATTAGAAGCTGGGAGTGCTTCCAGGCATACTGTACCTGCCCTGGGTTCCCAGGCAGTTTCTTGGATTGTGGAGCCGTATTTTCATAACTTTGTATATTATTTTCTGCAAAGGGAACAGACACACAGAGGGAGAGCAGCAATGCTGTGGGTACACACCCAGTGCTGCTGGGTGCTGGAGAAACTGCCACGCTTTCCCTGCTCTCTTTCAGTTTTAGTAATGGGAGATGTTACCGGTCACAGGGCTTGCAAGCTTGCAGTGCATGGTCATAGGAAATTTTTGGCCTTAAATGATGTTTAAGAAGGGGTCTATGAACAGGCTGCAGGGCTTGCTTCAAGCTTCTCAGCAATGATGCTCTGCTGAGAGCTGCTGATCTCGGCACAGTGAGTGTGAGCTCGGTTCTCAGCCGGTTGTCAGAGGCTCAGCAGCGTGTGGAGGGCAGCAGCAGCCTCACTGTTCTCCTTTGTTCCAGAGAGGTTTGATCACCACTGCCCCTGGGTGGGCAACTGCGTGGGGAAGCGCAACTACCGCTACTTCTACGCCTTCATCCTCTCCCTCTCCTTCCTGACAGCCTTCATCTTCGCCTGCGTCGTCACCCACCTCACTCTGCGTAAGTCTGGCTGCCAGCAGCTGCACACCTTGCTTTAGGAAACAAGCAGCTCGGGGCCCTGGGGCAGCACAAGGTTGTTGTGTGGGTTTGAGCCTGGCTTCCCAGTGCAGGTATCCCAAATAAGAGGGGGTTCACGTTGCAGGGAAGCCCTGACTCGCTCCTCTCCTCTCTGCAGAGAAACCTTGAGAGCTGGTGACAGTTATCCCCCTCCAGAGCAAATGCATTTTGTGCTGTCCCAAATGGGTGGGCTTTAAGTGTGTCTTCACTTAGCCCTGCAGGGGAGGTGACCTCTCCTTCAGCTCTAAATCTCCTGGACCTGCACTTGCTGACATCTCTGCACAGTTGCAGCCTGCAGGTGTTTTTGGGCAGCCAGGCAGATCCCTCTGGCCTGCGGGGGGTGGCTGTGTGCTGGGGAGTGAAGCATTGCCTGGAGGTGTGAGGCTGCCTGCTGGATCGTGGTTCCTTGTCCCATTTGCCTTGCAGGCTCTCAGAGAGATGGATTCCTCACCACTCTGAAGACAACACCTGCAAGATATCCTTTTGGTGCCAACAACTGCTTGGACAATTGAGCACTGGTGCAGCAACAATTAATTGTGTAACAGAGAAGGGAAGCTGGCTCTTTGTAGGGGTGGCCTGATGCACTTCCCATGGTTTAATCAGACCCCAGGTGCCAGGTTGGGGCAGGCAGGTATCCGATGCTCACAGACTGATGGCATCACCAGTTTGGTTTCATCTTTACTCCCACTTGTAGTTCATTGCCAGGGACTAAGGCTGGGTAGCAAACTTGATTCCCAGCTTGCAAGGCTCTGAAGGATGAGGAACATCTGGAGAAAGTCATGCATTGGTGGATGGCTGCAGAATGGCATGGAGATGGAGAGGTAGCTGGGGTGCTTTCATGGCCCAGTTGGTGTGGTCTTAACTGTGAGTGCCTCCCCAAAACAGCTTGTGTAGATGACTTTGTTCCCTGAGAATTCCTTGACTTTTGTTTCACTGTGCTGGAGCTGGTGATTTGTTTTTTCTCAGTCTGGTCTATTTTGGGCCTCTCAGGTTTTCACACTTACTTAGTTGCCTCGAACCTGACCACGAACGAAGACGTGAGTAGCCAAACCCTCATCTTTTCACCCCAAAATCTGCTGAGGGGCTGCCAGCCCTCCTGCTCTCTCAGCAGAGGTGAGGCTCCCAGGGCTCCCTGGCCATGGTGCAGGATCTGGGTGAGGGATTCTGCCATAATCCACTGACAAGGAAGCAGCTGTGCTCCCGGTTTGGAGAGCTGAGCAAGGGAACAACAGCAAACAGCAGCGTGGTGGGAGGACAGCATTGATGTCAGGTTGGGAGGCAGCACTCTGAAATGTCAGCAGGGTCACACGTGTGGGCTTTTTTCCTTTCTGTGTATGGGTTTGCTTAAAATGAGGAGTTCTGAGGTTAAAAAAAGGAAAGCAGGCCCCTGAGGTTTGGGTGTTAGCTTGGGACATGGGTGATCTTAATTCAGCATCCTGTCTAACCACAGGTTTCCTGAGAGACCCTGGGCAAGTCCCTTTGTCTCTATTAGTTCCTCGTGTCTAATAAGCAAAAAATACACAGATGCCTTCTCAAGAGGTGTGCCTTAAAGGCTGGGGTGGTGCAGACTCAAAGGGCTGAGTGAGTGCCCTGAGAAGGGCAGCTTGTATGGAAAAGCAGGATCTGTTTGATCCTCAGAAAGAATCAAAATTCACCCTTCTGATCAGAAGTGCCTGTCATCCTTGCTGGAAGCTTCCAGCACTGCATCCCATCAGGTTTGAATCCTTTTTTTTCGTTTGTTTTTCTCCTCCTTTTATTTCTTCCTCCTCACCATTCTGTTGGCTGACAGTGGTTGGCTGGACTGCAGCAGGCTGTCACAGCCCAGCCCCACCAGCCGTGAGCCCAAAGCTCCTCCAGCTGTGCTGCCCACATCCCAGGCACGTGCTGCATCTGCAGAGGGGGAGTAAAAACAGAAGGAGGAAACAGGGTGGTAAATGGTTCACTGCAGCCAGGGGCCCAAGGCTGGGTACAACATCTGCCCGCCTGCGTGCGCCTACGCTGAACATGTCCTGACTTTCAAAATCAGAGTCCTTGTGACAGCTGCTGAGGGTGGGGACATGAAATTACTTCCTCCTGTTGCAGAACGACCTGGGAGTCCCCTCACTGCTTGTTTAACCTCTGGTGCATGAGAGGGACCGTTAGGCAGAGCGCTGCTCTGAAGAGCTTTCAGCTTAGCAGAGAATAAAGAGGGGTGAGGGTCAGGCAGTGGCACTGATGGTGCACGGCATAGAGGGGACACGGCTCTGGAGCTTCTGGTTGCTGAGCCTGGGCAGAGGCAGGAGCAGCACACTGCTGTCATGCTGCCCTGCTGCTCATCACACAGAGGGAGGAGGTTTGCATTAAGCCCAACCTCCCACCTCCTGAGCGAGGATTTGAACCAAGCCCCCCATCGCGCCATTACCTACCATCACCTCTTTCCTACCTTAATCGTGTCCTTTCTTTTCAGATCAAAGGGTCCTGGTCAAATAAGAGGGGTTCAGAGTTTGCCAATCCTTACAGCCATAAAAGTATCCTCACAAACTGCTGTGCGGTGCTGTGTGGACCATTCCATCCCAGGTGAGAGCTCAGATGACCCGAAATGCTTGGCAGCATCCCACCAGATTCTCCAGAACAGCTGTTAGTGTTTGTCTGGGGAGCTGCAAGCAGCTGCTTTCGCTGCTCTGTCACCAGAGGGTGCACTGGGGCAGAGTTAGGCTGCCTGCTGTGCAGCTCTGCGTTCTGCGTCCTGCTCTCTGCACTGCTCCCTGCATTACCCACTGCTCTTTGTTGGCCTCAGAGGTACTGAAATGCCAGCATTGCCATTCAGCAATGCTAAATGTGGTTTCAGGGAGCTGAGCTGCGTGCTGGGAGGCTGCAGAACAACATTTCACCTAGATTCTTTCCATGTTTAGCTTGTATTCCTGTTATAAAGTCCTTCTGCAGCTCCCACTTGGGTCTGTGGCAACCCAAACCTTTCTGTTGGCTGTGTGGTGGGCAGGGAGCTGTGGAGACCTCCTGTGGGTCATCAGCTCCATCTCTACAGCAGAGCTGTCTGTGTGTCAGGAAGGTTTTGGTTTTATGATCAGGGTTGGTTTACAGCCCGGGCCAGCAGAGGGTCTGCAGAAACCATCACTGAAAATGATTTGATTCAGTGGCTGTGCATCCGATCTCCATGTCCTGCATCCTAACCCTCCTCCCCTTGCGTCATTTCCCTTTTGTTTTCCAGTTTGATAGACAGAAGAGGGTTCATCCAGCCAGATGTGGGGACGCCGGCCAGTCCGAAGAACGAAATCCCTTCCTTTGGAGCCAAACCTGACACCAGCATGGTAGGAGGTGGTGCTGGGGTGTAGCCCAGTGCCCGCCATGCCTGCACCCATCTCCAGCAGTACCTTCCCTTCTCACCATCTCCCTGGCCTCAGGCAGGACAGCTTTGTGATGCAGATCTGCCAAAGACTCTGTCGAGCCATACGTTGCCTTTTTTTTATTATTATTATTATTTATTTATTATTTTTTGTTTCTTCCTTTCACTGTGATGTGACCTGCCTGGACTTCTGACTGATGCAGCACCCCGGGGCTGCCGGGGAAGCAGGGTTCCCTCCTGCACCTGGGAAGCGAAACGGGTCTGGGGAGAGCCCTGAGCCTGGAGCATCACTCCGGGGAGTGGCTGCGTGCCCTGCGTGGGGCAGAGAGGAGCTGAGGATGGGGCGTGGGCTGGCAGAGGGATCCTGCTTGGAGCTGTGCTGCTGAGCCTTGCCTGCAAGGCTGGTGCAGGTGGAAGCTCCCTGCTGTATCCATGAACGCTTCTTGCTCCTCCGTGCCAATGCAGAGGGGTTGTGTGTCTTAGCGGCCAGGTATTCAGTTTGACCTGCTGCCAGAGTGGCTTTTCTTTTCCAGCAGCTGCTGTGCCTTGCTGAGTTGTGGTTGTGCAGCCATGGGAGCCGGCTGGGTGTCCTGTCTGCTGCTGGTTCTGTATTCTGTCCGCTCACCGGGGCAATGCTGGGGAGATCTTGGCATGTTGGCTGTGGCAGTAAGACAGAGCTTTGCAGCAAGGGCACAAGTTAGGAGGACCCTCGTAGTGAGGAAGAAGAAACACATACAGCATCCTGCAGCTCTCCCTGTGGGAAGCTCCAGCTGTGAGATTTGGGATCCTTAACTTGCCAGGGAAGCCCGACTGCATCCGACCTGTAGGAGAATGGAAGGCTGCAGGAAAGTGGTGACTTCCCAAGGGCTCTGCCTGTCCCAGGTGGTTACATAGAGAGCAGCAAGCAGGTTCTGATCTCTGACAGCCTCACGTCGTGCTCTTGTCTTGGGTTTTGGGCCAGCAGAGAACTCAGGGTGATCCCTGTGTGCCTTGGTGCATCGTTCCCAGCCTATGGAGATGTGGCTGAGCCGGGTTGGGATCCCAGCTCTGCAGGTTGCTGACAGGAGCAGTAGAGGGAGACTCACAGGCCTTGTTAGCAATACTTGAATCGTGTTACTAAAAGCTGCTGGATAATTTTGCACAATTTGTAGATTTTTTTTTCTATGTAATGTTTTTATATTTGACGTAGATAGCATTGTGCATATTAGGACCAGGCTGGAGCCTTGCAGGGCTTTGTGTCAAGCTGTCTGGTTGGGTTTCCTGGGAGTTGCAGGCAGGGGTTTCAGCCTGGGGCAGGGGGCAGCTTGTCCTGCTGAGTTAGCCAGAGCTGTGCTGTATGCAGCAGGTGACTGAGCCAGCCCACATGGAGGGCTGCCAGCTTGCCATGGCCACCAGCTCGCCTTCCCCTCTGCAGAAAGCCCGGCTGGCCCCAGGGGCCCAGGTGAGAGCGTGGCAGCTGCTCCATTTCTGCTGCATCCCAGCAGATGGCCCTCACTGAGCGCAATGGGAGCAGTGTGGCTCCGTGCCATCCCATGGGCTGCGTGCTTCAGCCTGGCAGCCTAAAAGCCACCTTGGCATCCGGAGAGGCTGCTGTGCCCCTTTGTCCCTGCTGCTGTACAGCTGTTCCAGGGGTTTGTCCCTGCCAGCAAGGGCTGAGCAGGAGGACCTGGGGCCAACAGAGCCATGTGCAGGTCATCAGCGGGGCCCAGGTTCCTTCCTGTTCTTATTGAAACCGGTTTCCTTGATTACTCGTTGTAATAAAATTATATTTTTAAAGAGTTAATTGCTTGGATTATTATTTTATTCCTTTAAGACAAAAGAGGATGTTGACGTTGGATGGTGCATTAGTCACAGGGCTCGCCTGGGCGCCCTCCTGCAGGATGGGGCTGCGGAGGGGGGGGGGAGGCACTGAGCACCAGTTGAAGCTGGGGGAGGGGGTTTGCCCCCAGGTCTCAGGGCAGGGCCAAGTGTCGCCCTGCTCGTGCATCTCTGCTTGGAGCTGAGCTCCCTCTGGGCCCCGCACTCCATCCATCACAGCTCGCACACCCCGTGCCCGCTGGCGTTGCGGCGCGTAACTCTGGTGTCTTCCCCAGGAGGATGCCTGCCAGGACTTCGCTGTTTCCTGCACAGCCTGATGGGACGTGCCCTCTCCTCTGCCCCTGGCCCTGCATTCTGGGGGCTGGCTGGTAAGAAAGGATTTCCTTTTTTCTCCTTCAGCCCATCTCATCTCCACCGCATGTCTGGCTCTGCCTGTGAAGCCCTCCATCATCCTCCAGCTGTGCTGATACCTGCATGCTCCCACCGCCTTCCTGCAGCCTGGGTGAGCACAGCAGGGTGCTTCCCCCCCCCCCCCCAAGTGCTGTGAGATGGAGCTGGACTGGGTCAGCCCAGCCTGGGGACAGCAGCCCCGTGATGTTTGCAGTAGTGCCCTGCATGGTGCAGGGATGTGTTTGTGGTTTGTCCGGACTGGGAGCACGTTATGGTTCCACCCTTCATCTCCATCTCTCCGTGCCTCAGTTTCCCCGTGTGTAATGTGACATTTGTCCTCCCATGTGCCTACCATCAAGGTGAGTTCTTTCTCCTCTTTCCCCGGTCCTGGGGCTGTGCAGTGTGCTCAGGGCAGCACGGAGCTCCGCAGGCCGGCAGCCCCTCTGCCCCTCTTGGAGCACCCTGGGGAAGCCAGGACCCCACGAACCTCCCCGATGACGACAGCCATCAGCACCACCTGTGCCTCTGCAGAGCTGTGCCTTCCCCCTTCCTGCTGGGGGAGAGGGGGGAGAGCAGCCATGTGCAAGCCAAAGCCTTTCTGAGCCCCCCACCCACAGCAGGGGCCAAAAAGCCATACAGCATCCCTCCCGAGTGCAATACTGCGTTCCTCCTGCCTCCCCCTCACCGTGGGGAAGGGCCATAAACTGAGCCAGGGCTCCCAGCACCCAGCCCTACCTGGGGGCTCCTCCTGGGGGGGGGAGGGGGTTGGGTTTGAGCCAGCATGTGTTGCCCACTGCATCCCACTTGGCCCTGTAGGATGGTGCATGGTCAACGCTCACCCTCCTCATGAGCTCCCCACCCCCCAGTTCATCACTATGGGGCTCTGATGGAGGGGATGGGTCCCTTCCCCCTGTGCAAAGGGCTTCAAGCCTGGTAGGATTCTGCCTTTTACTTTTGTAACGAAATAAAGATTTTCCCGTTTCCTGTCTGTCTCTGTGGTGCTGGGCTCCATCCCGCATCCCTTGCTGCAGCTGTGTGAGTTTAGGGGCATCTGTGGGTGCTCTGAGTGTGATGGGTGGCCATGTTCCCCTCCAGCAGGGCACAGAGCTGGGGCTCGTCCCTTCACCTCCTCCTCCCCCCCTAACTTGCACCAAAACCGGTAGAGCAGAATATTTTTGCAGCTCCTGCTCAGCTCATTGCCACCATTTGGCAGCAGCTCGCTGCTTCTGGCAGCACCAAACCCTCGAGCTCCACGCCGCGCCCTGGGGGGGACCTGCCCCCATACTCTCCGATGGGGGGGTGCCACCATGTTGGGATGAGATGGGGCAGAAGTGCATTCTGTTCAAAACCACAGCCCCTTCCATCCGGGAGGTCAGGCAGTGCCCACGTGGGCTCCACTTTAGGCCCCAAACCCCACAGCCCCCCACCGCTTGGCTGGAAGGGGAGTGGGACCACGTAAAGTTGGGGCGGGCAGCTCCCAGCCCTGAGCAACACCAGCAGGGACAGAACGGAAGGGATGGGGTGCTGGCACAGTGCTGGTGAAGCCCTTGGCCCCATCCCCACGTGCTGCCTGCCCGCCGCACCCTGCCCTGTGCCGGCGTGTGGGAACAGGCTGAGAGCGAAACTGCAGCGCAACGCTGAGCGCAGATCCTAATCGGGGCCGCCAGCGCTCCTGGGCAGAAGTAAAATAAAAATGAGAATGAAAAAAAAAAAAAAAAAGAAAAAAAAAAAAAGAAAAAAAAATATCTCAACTCTTTTCAGTGCGGCGTGAAGGGAGCGAAACGTGCCCTGCTGAGATGAACGGAGAGGGTGGGGGACGTGGCAATGGGTCTGGGGGAGAGCTGGAGAAGCCTTAATGGGGCTCCGGTGGGGTTTGTGGGTGTGGAGCTGCCCTGGGGTTGGGGACACCCCAACATTTTGGGAGGGGGTTGGTGCTGAGTCCTTCCAAGTGCCAGGGCAATTCCCCTGAGCCGGCGGTGCTGGGAATGCCCCGATCCCAATCCTGGCCCCGATCCCTGTGGCAGTGCTGGGCAAGGTGCTGCTCCTCCTGCCTCGATTTCCCCACCGGTGGGAATAAATACCTGCCCTTCAAGCCCTTGCAATTACCAACGAGTTAATCATCATATAAAAATGACAGCGATAGGATTTTTGGGAGGAGACCATTTTTACAGCCAGGCCCACCCCGTGCTGTTTCTCTAAGGGTGTTTGGGAAGGGAGCACCGGGTGCTGCCACATTCCTGCTTCACCCCACTGCTCCCTGTTCCGAGCACTGCTGGCAGATGGGGAAGGGTCCCCAATTGATCCACGGTCCCCCAGTCATCTGGGATCTCCATTGATTCCAGGTCTCCCATTTATTTGGGGTCCCCCATAGATCCAGGTTCCCCCATTGATTCAGAGTCTCCCATTGATCTGGGGACCCCATTGATTCCAGGTCTCCCATGGATCCGACCATCCCACTGATCTAGGCTCTCCTATTGGTTCAGGGTCCCCCACTGGTCTGGGGTCTCCATGGATTCGACGTCTCCCATTTATTTGGGGTCTCCCATTGATCCAGGGACCTTCATTGGTTCAGGGTTCCCAACTGATCCGAGCTCCCCCATTGGTTCAGTCTCCCACTAATGCAGGATCTCCCGTTGACCCAGAGTTCTCCACGGATCCGGAGTCCCCCTGGGGTGTCCCCTTGACAGGGGGGGGCTCTCCGAGGACCCCAGGACTTCCCTGAGCTCATCCTCTCCCTCCCGGCACCCTGAGCGAAGGCAGGGTGGGTGCCACCCGCTCACCCCTTCCCCAGCACCCCTCTGCCTCGGGGCGCGATGACTCACGGCAATTTGGCTTTTAAGGGCGGGCTCAGCGGGGAGGAAGCAGAGGAGGAGGAGGCCGCTCCTTCAGCCTCGCTGACTCCTCCCGCTCTCGCTCGGGGCTCCGACGCTCAGCCAAAAGCGAATCGAGGCGGCGAAGCTCAGCAGAGGCTCCGACGGCTCCCAGCCCCGCTCCTCGCCCCGACGTCTCGTCCCGCGCCCGTCCGCCTTCAGCCATGGCAAGAAACCACCAAGTGCAGAAAGCCAAGCTGGCCGAGCAGGCCGAGCGCTACGAGGACATGGCGGACTTCATGAAGGCGGTGGTGGAGCACGGCGACGAGCTCTCCAACGAGGAGCGCAACCTCCTCTCCGTCGCCTACAAGAACGTGGTGGGCTGCCAGCGCTCGGCCTGGAGGGTCATCTCCAGCATCGAGCACAAAACCGAGGAGGGCGACGACAAAGCGCAGCTGGTGAACGAATACAGGGAGAAGGTGGAAGAGGAGCTGAAGGGCGTCTGCAACGTGGTGCTGGGCTTGCTGGAGAAGCACCTCATCAAGAAGGCCGGCGACGCCGAGAGCAAAGTGTTCTACCTGAAGATGAAGGGAGACTATTTCCGATACCTGGCCGAGGTGGCCGCCGGCAACGACCGCAAGGAGACGATCGACAGCGCCCAGAAGGCGTACCAAGAGGCCATGGACATCAGCAAAAAGGAGATGCAGCCCACGAACCCCATCCGCCTGGGGTTGGCCCTCAACTTCTCCGTCTTCCACTACGAGATCGCCAACGCCCCCGAGCAGGCCATCTCGCTGGCCAAGACCACCTTCGACGAGGCCATGGGGGACCTGCACACGCTCAGCGAAGACTCCTACAAGGACAGCACCCTCATCATGCAGCTGCTCAGGGACAACCTGACGCTATGGACAGCCGAGTGCGCGGGCGAAGACGGCGGCGAGGCTGGCGAAGAGCCCAAGAACTGAACGGCCCCCACACGGCTGGGGTCCGTCCCCCACCTCCTTCCTCCTCCTCTTCCTCCCAGACTCCCCCTCCTTCCCTTCCCAAAACCCCTCGGTGTCTTTTCCTTTTTTTTTTTTTTTTTTGAAGGGGTGGGTAAGGAATTTCGCCCCCCCTCCCACCCTCACCCCCCCTCCAGTTCCGGGAGTGGGGTCCATATGTTTGCCCTTTGGCAGGGCCTCCCCTTTCCCTCTCCCCCCCATGTTCTTGTCATGCTCCCCCCACCCCTTTAGCATTTTGGTTGGGAGATACCCCAGCGTGGCTTAGGGGGGCCCTAACCTACCGTCTTGGGGGGCTGAAGCCACGCCACTGGTCCCTTGGGGGCAGTGGGAGGAGGTGATGGGACGGGATGGGGAAAAAGGGGAGGGGGGTCCGACGTGCCCCCCACCCAGTTGGAGGATCGTGAATTGCCGAAGCCTCTGTGCGGCTCCAATAAACCATCTCGTGCACGCCTGCCTCTGTGGTCGCCTCATCTCTCCTCCCGTGCACATGCCCAGGCAGCTCCTGAAGCTCCCAGCGCCGGTCCCATTGCACGCCACGCCGTGCTGGGGGAGCACTCAGGGCCCCCAAAGCACAGGTCCGGCTGCCTGCAGCCCCTCCCAGCCCTGCCGTGGGTTGTGGGAGTACTCAGCGAGCCCAGACCTCAGGGACGGGTCCCAGAAAGGGCTTTCCAGATGGGCATTTCAGGTGGGTTTTTCCATAGGGAGAGGGTGCCCCACGTCTCCAACCCTGCAGCTGTGTGTCCCTGTTCCCACGGTGCCCCCATCCCTGCGCTGTTCCCATTCCTGTACTGTCCTCACCTCCATGATGTTCCCATAGTGTCCCCACCCCCATGGTATTTCCATCCCCACAGTATTCCCATTCCCCAGACCCCGGGTGTCTCCACCCCTATGGTATTTCCATCCCCATGGTGCTCCCGTTCCCATCGAGTTTCCATCCCCATGATGCCCCTATTCCATAGTGTCCCGGTCCTCATAGTGTCCCTATCCTTATGGTGTTCCCACCCTCATGGTCTTCCCATCCCTACGGTGTCCCTATGGTGTTCCCATCCCCACAATGTCCCCATCCCTACAATATTCCCGTCCCCACATTTTCCCTATGATGTCCCCCACCTTCATGATGTCTCCATCCCCATGGTGTCCCCACCCAATCCACACAACCCACAGTATCCCAGACCCCACTACTGGGGCTCCGTGCAGACAGGGGGACATTTCAGGATGTTTCAACCCCTACAGCACTGACGTGGAGCTGTCCCAGGGGAGGTGACAGCATCCCACCAAGGTGAGGACATCCCCGTGGAGGTGCAGATGTGCCGGCGCAGGAGAAAGCTCAGCACTTCTGGCCCTGGCGCTCAGCCACAGCGAAGGGCGCAGCTCTCAAAGCGCGAGTTTCAACACGAACAGTTAATTACACTGAAATCCAGTCCCGGCAGCCTGGGCCGTGAGCTCATCAGATGGAGAGCAGCAGGGCTGGGCTGTGGTGGGCAGGACCCGGCTTTGATGGGAAATGGGGTGGCAGGAGGAAGCGGCGTGACTCAGGGTGTGCCGGTTCAGTGGGGTCTTTGCTTGGGGACATCGGGGACATTGCGCCGAGCTGCACTTGGGCACGGTCAAATGTTGGGTTTGGGGAAACTGAGGCACGACCCTGGGGTGGGGAGGATGGGGCCGTGGGAATGCTCTGGCCGTGGGAGGATGCGTGGAGCAGAACCTGCTCACCCAGCCCCGCATCCCGTGGCAGAGCCTGCTCAGTGCCTGCGAGGCAATGCTGGGAGCCCCCAACCCAGAGCTGAGGAGAGGACGTGGGGTTGGGGATGGGGATGGGGTTGGGGTCCATTGGTGCCATCGGTTCCCTTTGAATGGAAAATGAGGGGCTTCCGTGGTTGGCCTCTGTCCTGCCTAGAACACACCCACCCCTCCTTGGAGCTGCTCTCAGGCTCACTGGGCAGTGCAGGGCCGGCAGACGTGCAGGATGACCCGCAGGCACCCGCTGGCTGTGACCCCAGGGGTTGGGGACACGGGGAGGGGACGGCGGGCAGTGAGAGATGATAACCATGCCCCAGATTGCAGTGTGATTGGGGCCGTGCTGCTCCCCAGCCTCCCAGACAGCCCGGAGGCTTTTTGGGGCTGGGAGGAATCCCTGATACCCACAAGGCTCCCCATCCTTATCTTCCCAAAGCAGGAACAGAGCAGGGCTGTGCATGTGGATTTTAGGGTTTTTGAGCAGCAGCAGCACAACGGGACTCAGGTGCCCATGTCCAGGGAGTGTCCCCAACTCAGAGCCACCCTAGGGCTGGGGATGGGTGGTGGGCGCTGGGAGCAGATCCCAGCACAGCCCCACACCTGGTGGCTACTGGCCATGGCTTTATGGCTATTGGAATAGATCTCTGCTGCCTCACTGGCACTGCTTGTACAACCTAAGCGGGACAGACGGGCAGCAGGACACACAGCCAGGCTTGTTCTTTGTCCCCAGGCTGGGTGACAGAGGCTGAGCCCCATCCCAGGGGCTGCTGGCCACAGCAGGGCAGCTTTTGGGGTGCCCATGGTGAGTGCTGCCCTGATGGGGAGTTCACTGAACCCAAAATCAGGGGGAGGCAGCCAGGCTGGTGGTGGGCTTTGCAGTGGTTGGGAGTAGATGTTTGGGATGGCTGCAGTGCCTGGAAGGACCCTTCCGTCCCACCTGCTCTGTGTTTGTGTGTCTGTCCACACACAGAGAATAGCACAAGGCTGAGGCAGTGAGGGATGGTGCCCATCCCAGCCTAGGGGGCTCTGAAACCAGTTGGTGTTGGTCCCAGCCCCACACTCCTGGGCTGCTGTTGGGATCAGCTCACTCCAAGCCCATTGCTTTGAAGTAAGCCAGTCCTGGGCACTGGAACCTATTTGTGGGGGGGAGCTGTGCTGTGGGGCAGGGGGATGGAGGTGCACAGAGCCGTGAGCAAAGCCTCGACCATTCCACATCTCCCACCTCCAATCATTCCCCATCCCCAACCACTCCGTTCCCCATCCCCAACCACTCCGTTCCCCATCCCCAACCATTCCCAATCCCCGACCCCACAGAACACAGAGCTGGGGGTGGGGGCAGGAGGGACCACACACGGGCTGGGAGCCAGGACCCCAGGGCCAGGCCCGCACCGTGGTGACGAATCCTGGCCCCGTGCCCAATGCTTGCTCAACGGGAGCGACGGGAGCCAGGCTGTCACCTCCTCAGCCCCCGGGATCTGTCCCCTCCCGGCGTGGGGACGTGCAGGAGAAGGACCCGGTCTGTGGGACACGGCAGCGCTCCCCTCGGGGCTCAGAGCTCTTTGATTTTCCATCTTCCCCACCGCAGGGCTGGGGCTGCAGGTGCTGCAGGGGTAAAATCAGCAGAAGGCGAGCGGCTACAAAAGCTTTGGCAGCTCGCGGGTAACTCTGGCTTGACCCAACAGCACCTTTTTAAGCCACCAAATCTCTCAGAGCCGTGAAAAATCAGCCATAAATCTACTTATTTTTTATGAGCACATCATCCATCCCTTTTGCTTCAGATGCGAGGCTCAGAGATCGGGCTGGAAACCCACACCAGCAAGGCACGAGGATGGAGTTTCAGCTCACACTCTGGTCAGGTTGGCTCCCAGCCCCACTTCCAGCTGGAGAAGGACCTGCACAGCTCCCAGGTAGAGGAACACAACGCTGCAAACAGCCCTGCTGTGACGTTCCCACCAGAGGGTTTTTAGCCCCAGGCTTTGTAGCACTCGGTTTTATTTATTCAGGTTTAGCAAACTCCCAAGATGAAAGCGAGACAAAGTGTTTTATTAAGAAAGAGTCCATCATTATTTAAAAAAAAGAAAAACAACCTTCTCTCTGTCCTCCTTGAGACAGACTGGAGGCTTCCTAGCCGAGTACGAGGGCCACGTACACCTCCTAGGAAGTAAACCAAGAACTCACGTCTCAAGTCTCACTAGAGAAGAAACAAGCCGATTTTTCTTTCCCCACATCTACCTTGGGCTCACTGGGGAAAAGGAGACGTGGCAAAGCTCAGTCTCCCTTGCTTCTCTTCTCTCACAACCCCCACCCAGCTCTCTCTCGCCCCAAGAAGACCCAACTTGCTTCGTCCTCAGCCAGAGCCCATCCATTCCACTGCTGAGCTCCAATTCCCACAGTGAGGCAGCGCAGCAGGCAGACCTCTGCCTGGAGAGACTTTCACTTGCTCTGAGTCACACAGCACAGAGTCCCTTAAACTCTCAGCAGCAAAAGGAGAGCTGCCGAAGCAGAGCGCGGCTGCGGCGGAGCTGGGTGTGTTACATATCCATCACTTCTTCTTCCACCGTCTTGTCCTGAGATTGCACATACTTCTCCTGCACTGCAAGGGTGCTGATAACGCACTAATTAAGGAAAACAAGGCGGCAGGGCAGGGCTCAAACACTCCCTTCTACAAGGAGCTCTAACGTTCTCAGCGAGGAGCCAACCCCTACGTGTGCCTGAAGGCTGGCAGGGAGGCAGCAGTGCTGGCAGCAGCACGCATCACCTGAGTTATTTCTGGCTCTGGCTGATCCCAGACCCGACAAGTACAGGAGAATCAATTGTATGGTTTGGACAGAGCGTAAAGAAACAGTTCAGGCGAGTGTGAAGGAGAGGAGAGTTGTCAAAAGATTCCTCCCACATGTACAGCGTCAATTAGCAAGGCATGCAGTAGCTGTGGTATGGACAACTGCCTGCTGAGCTCTGGGCTGAGCATCTGCATCACAGCACAGCATCAGACCATGGCAGGAACCACCTGCAAGCTGCCAGCCCCACCTCCAGCCCCTCTTGCCCAGGAGAAATTAAAGCAAGGGAGGATCGGTGGAGAAGGATACGAAGTAAAGTGGAAATCTGCTCCCACTGCTGCCGACATCAGAGCTTCCAGGCTTCTGTGCTCCTGGTCCCCAAAGGAACAGCCGTTGGCTTTGTCCACTGCCTGCATCACCTGCCGCATGCTGTCCTTATCCTGAAAGGGAGAGAGGTGACACGCAGGAAACACAACCCTCCCCGGGGGCAAGAGCTCATGCTGGCCTTTACCACCCATTTTCTCTGAGGCTGTGGGCCACCTGAACTACACTCCAAGCCTCCGTGGCACTGCCTGCCTCCTCCCTGAGCCCAGAGGGCAACAGGACAAGGAGGAGCTCCCCCCTGGGGTCTGAATACACGATGGGCTGACACCCTCCGCCCTCTCGCTCCCTTTCATCACTGCTCATCTCAGCCCATCTCCCTTTGTTGACACTTCTGCAAACTTCAAAATTAACATTTTGAGTCCTCGCTCACAGATGCGTTCCTCCCATCTCCAAATTACTTTGCTCTCCCTGATTTGAAAGTGTTTTAGGTAATGGCTCGGAATTGCAATGCGGGCGCAGAACGAAGGAGTCTCAATTCCCCACCCCAGGACAGGAGGCCCACATAGCTCCAAGCCCATCAGCTTTTCCTTCTCCTTCGGCTGCCACAGAACATGTGCAAGTCTGGGTGCATTTCACTGCCCTCCTCCATCCTTGAGTCTCTCCATTGTGAAGCCTTTCAGCCCCCACTGTCCCCATTTGTTACAGCAACTTCTAGGGGCAGAGGGAAAAGCAGCAGAGGCAATATGGGATTTGGGGGCAGCCTTTGCAGAAGGCTTTCCCCACTTTCTGCACGTCCACGTGCCACCCAGCTGCTCCCAAACATCCTGGCTGGCTCTCTCTGCCCCTCTCCTCCCACTGCATCACCTGGACGTTGAGCGGAACGAAGGACACCAGGCTGTAGTCCTCAATCACCTCCACCAGCTTCGCATTGAGGCGGCGGTAGTTTCTGAAGAAGGGGTCAGAAGCTAAATGGTCAACCAGGTAAGAGAGGTCCAAGACCTCTGTGTAATAATCCAGGTTGAAAGCTGTGGGGAAACACAGAGAGGCTCTGAAAACCTGTTGTAGATGTGGCTGATTTCCTGCTACCGAGAACCCAGCGAGATTTACACCATTTTCCCAACCAGCTCCCAGCAAAGCAGCCCTGTGCCATAGCAGCTGATCTGCATCTGACACCACCTGACTCCACGTCTCCCTCTCTGAAAGGCTCCATACCCAGCTTGCCATACTGCTCAATCAGGTCCATCTTGGAGAGGACGTTCACGTGGGGCAGCTCCACATGCAGCATGGTAGAGAGCGAGGTGCAGAGCACGGAGATGAACTTGCCAGGGTCTGTGCAGTAGTGAGAATCCACCAGATGTACTGCAGCCAGCTGGGGAGCAAAGGCACACAGGTGAAAATCCTTCTGCTTTAATCCTGGGAGACTCTGAGAAGGACAACCCACCCAGGTGTAACTAACCACACAGATTCCTACGTGGGGAAAGCTATCACACGTACATAAAACACCCTCCTATGGATATACATATGGATATACAACCTGTACAACGCATGGGTACCATCACCATCCATCTCCAGGTCCACCATCTCCACCCTCACACCCGTGGGGGCTTCAGAGTGAGGATGCTGTGTGCAGGGAGGGCCGTGGGAAGGCTGCAGCACCGCAGGACGCCCTCACACCCCAACTGCTCCCACATTTCTGAGGACATCTCTCTTTGCAGCAGCAGTTCCCCGCTCGGCTGCACTCTGCAGGTTTTTGGGGGCAGTTGGGGCTGACCCCCATCCTGAGCTACACAACTGCCTCAACGTTTCCCCCTTCCCCACAGGAAAGTTTGCCAGCTCAACAGCAGCAACTGCAGAACACCACACTGTGCCAGGAGAAGCAAGCGCCCTGTGGTTTGAAATAATAATTAATCACTAAATTAACGAGCTGCTCGATTCCCTGCGTTTCACGCGGCTGTAACAATGTGGTCTGCGATCTCTGCTAAGCTGCTGGCAGTTGCACAATGCCACTCGCAGGCAGAGCTCTGGAGCTGAGGGTGGTTGAGTCACAGCCGTGCTTCTGCAGCACAAAAAAACACAAAGCCAGAGCAAAGCTCACAGGCAGGTGTAAGCACTGCTGTGCCCATCAAAACAGGAACGTAACCATCTTTTTTTAGTAACTGCAGTTTCGTGTATGTTTATTTGAATAAAGATGAATTCTAATGTGCAGATTCCCAGCGACACTCTCAAGCAAACGAACTTGCCCTTCTTGCTCGCATCACATGTGGTTTGCACATTCATGGTTTGGCCCAAATGCAAAACAAATGCAACGTAGGCAAGTTAGTGTGGTTATGGGACTCTTCTCACCCGCGCTTCCTAATTTGCATCTTCCATTGTGCAAGAAAGCACAGAGCACGTATTACGATGTGCACAGCGATTTGGTTTGGCTGCAGGAGCAGCAGGCAGGGCCTGAGATGACACCTGAATTTCTCACAGTGCAATGCAGAGGATCTGCACTCGCCCTGCACGCACACTGCATTCCCTGCCCTGAAATACAGCACTGACTCAAATAAAACACTGAACAAACCTTCCAGCAGCGAGAATCTGGGAGGAAGGAACCCATGTTCCTGCTCAGCATAGCGGCACCGTGTTAAACGTCCTGAACAAGCTACTCCTGCCTGTCCCACCAAGCATAAAATCATAGAATCCTAGAATGGCCTGGGTTGAAAGGGAGCCCAAAGATCATCTAGTTTTAATCCCCTGCTGTGTGCAGGGTCACCAACCAGCAGCTCAGGCTGCCCAGAGCAACATCCAGCCTGGCCTTGGATGCCTGCAGGGATGGGGCATCCACAACCTCCTGGGGCAACTTGAGAACAAGCAGGATGGTGAAGAAAAGAGCCATTAGCAGCCACATCCACAATCAAAAAGCCCCGACTGCAAGGTGTGCAGCATCTGAGCCCCCTGCACAGCTGCAGTGCCCACAGCACTGAACCCACCCTGAAATTCCACTTGGCCAACTGTGCAAAGACGTTCTTCAGGGCGTCGTGGTGGGTGTAGAGCTCCACCTGGCCCGGGCAGTCAAACAGGTAGTAGTGACCTCTGAAGGCAGCCAGCTTCTCCTGCAGCCAGTCGAAATTGGCCTCCAGGTACTCCATGCAGTAGATGAGCCCCCCGTTGGGCCCCAGCTTCAAGTTCTCCATCACGTCAGACAGGGTGATGAGCTCAGAGATGTCCACAGCACAGGAATAGGGCATCCCCTCGTTGGCTGGGTCCAGGTTCACCACAGCCACCTTGCGCCCAATCCTGCCCATGAACTCCTGCATGCCATGGCAGTAGGTCGTCTTGCCGGAGCCTGGAGGCCCGATCACAACCTGGCCAAAGGCCAGCGGGCCGCCCTTGCTGCTCTCAGACATGGCGGCTCATCTCCTCCTCCTGAGCAAGAAATACAAAGCTCTCATTCACTTTATTTCCATGGATACGAACGCTGCGAGCTGGGCCTTGAGCCCGTGGCTGCGAATCAGGAAGGGTGCTGCAGCAGGGTGCGGACCCAAAGCCAGCATCACAACTGTGCGTCCTTCCCTGCTCCCTTCTTCCAGCCCCACATCCCATTCCCCTTCTCCCGCCGCGTCCCCACCCACACCCTCTATGCCTACATCCGTCCCCACACCTCACTCCCGGCCCTTCTCTTCTTTCTCCACCTCTCCCAGCCCCCAAACCCCCCCACGTCTCCCCCACACCCCCACGTGCTCCCCCTCCCGCTCACCGCCACCACCGGTGTCTCAGCTCTGGGTCCGGGTGCCCGCAGGGCCCCGCTTACCGCGTTCCGGCCCCGGAACGGCAACCGCCTGCATGGCGCCCCCTAGCGGTCGGAGGGCGCAGCGGACCGAATGGCGCCTAGGGTTTGCCGGTTCGATTCCCCGCTCCACCCGTTTCCTCCAGGCACAAACCCAGCACCCCCACCTCCGCCTCCAAAAACAGAAATGACTCTCTACGTTGTCTCTGCCACACCTAATGAGAAGTGCAGAGTAAGCAGCAGGAAAAGGCTGGAGCCCACTGACTCGGAGGAGACTTAATTCACATGTAACACCACAACGCCAGGTCACATGGATGAAAGCTCTCAGCCCAGGGCTCTCTGCAGCCCAGGCTTTGTCACAGAGAAGCATGGAAGGAAGCAGCTGCTACACCTGACCACAGGGAGACGCCTTCCCGAAGGCTGCCAGGACGTGTCTTTCATCCCAGTGAGTTTCTGCTGGGACTGTGGGATTGTCACGCCCAAGCAAGACAAAGCTGTGAGCCCGCAGCAAACTTTCTGCAGGACAGTTACATTGCCACAGCTGGCCCTGTCTGTACTTGTCCTGCCCTAGGTCTCAAGGAGCTGTGAACTATGCGCTCTGCTTTCTGGGCTGAGCTGGCTGTGGACCTAACACAGCAGCTCTGCTGATCTAGGCAGCAGTATTGGCTTTAAAGCTCTGGCATAAAAATGCAATTCCCACCTCGTTCCCAGTGAACAAATAGGACCATTAATATCTCCCCTCACTTTAATAGCTCCAGGAGGAGTTAAAAAAAATAATCAGGGCATTTTCCGTTACAAATTATTTCTTCCAAAAATAAATATATGAACAAACTACTCCAGTATTGAGACCAGCAGGAGCCAGCCTGCGGTCAACAGGAGCAGGAGCAGTAAAAAGGCTCTGTGATTGTCTCTGCTCAGTGCGACTGAGTGCTGGAGCTCTGCAGAGCGCCACGCGACGCCCGGACGAAAGGCATGCCCTGTCTGTACTTCATGGCAGTGGGTGGCTGGCGCCTGAGCAGCTGGTCACCACTGTCCACAGGCTCAGGGTCATCGTAGATGGTTGAGATGAGGACAGGAGTTTCTCTCCGTGGCTTTTTCACCTTGCTGAATGCTGGCAGTTTCTCCCCATGGTACCTAGAGGGAAGCAGGTAGCGTTGGGCTCAGCAGCGCTGGGGCAGTGGGAAGCCCCTGTAGATGCAGGCTGTCTCCTCCATGTGTTATAAAGGAGGAACGGGCAGAAACAGTGCAGGTGTTCTGTCCTGGAGCCATCCCACAGACAGGAACAAGCAGCAGCCCTCGCAGTGAGACAAGGCACTGAGCAAAGCCCACAGACAAGTCACAAGTACGGCACACCAATCTTGCTCAGTCACCTGAGCTTTTCCTACAGAAATACTGCAGCAGGCGACCCTTAATTCCTGAGCACGGATTTCCCTTATGTTTGTGTGCTGCATGAACCTGCAAATGGTTGCAGTTCTTTTAGTGTAACAACACAAGCCCTTCCAAGAGTACTGCACTGTCAGGAAGAGCAGAGCAGTCAGCTCAGGAGTGCTGTGGCAGGGCCCTGGGACACAGCCTTACTGCTCTGGTTCACAGTCCTCACTTTTTAAGCTGCAGATGCCAGGCAGAGGCTCCAAACACAGGCTGGCAGGGGAGGACAAGGTACTTACCCCAGACCTCTCCTGCACTTGGGATTCTGACCCTCATTGTCAAGAGCTTCAGCCATTCCAGAGTTGTTGCTCCCCAATCCCAGCCCCTCCGTCCAGCCCTGCTGCTCCAGAACCTTCCTGCCAAAGCCCTGGAAGAGCAGAAAAAAAGTCATAAAGGTGTTGGACAAAGCCCACCCTCATCCTCCCAGAACCTCCCTCCACAACACACACATATTTTGAACATCACCAGCACAGCCTTTCCCCATCCACTCTGTATCCAAAGCTCACCTTGGTGTATCTCTCAAAGGTGCCGATTTGCTGCCCTGATGTAGACCCATCCTCCAAACCATCTCGAAGTCTCTGTTCCAGCCACATCTGGACTGAGTCACGAGCATCCTTGTCACCTCCATCTAGGGAAAAAAGAAGCAAGAGTTGGAGTAGAACAGCTCAGGAAAGCTACTTCCTGCTGCGATTTCCCCCACAGCACCACCCAGCAAGGAAGCAGAACCTGTTCTTTTTGGCAGCTCTCACAGCCAGAAAATGTTCTTTCAAGTACAGTGACGTCTCAGATGCTTTCAAAGGATGACTGAGTTCCCCACGTCAAAAATTCTGCAGGTTCAGAACTTCCCAACCTCCCCTGTTTCCTATGAAGTTTTTCCAAGCTCAAATACCTTTGTCATAGTAGATGCTCATGTCCACATCCCAGTCATCAGCAGTCTGCTCATCAAAGTCTGCCAAGAGAAGAAAAGCACCGGTTTTGGTAATGGCTGTGGATGTCTGACACAGAAGAGCTGCTAGCTAGCAGTCGATCCCCTGTTTTCTCTAACAAAATGGGAAGGAACAGATATTAGGGTATACAAACCACAGGCTTACAGAATAGGCTGCTAATAGGACCAGCAGGTCCTGGAGCCATCAGATGGAACTTCTGCAGGTTTTGTCACCAAGGGAAGGCTTAAAAATCGATCACCAGATGCCCATATCTGCAGCTGAGCTGGACGGGTTATACTTGATTTATCTGCTTCTGCCAGGCTGGGCCCCCAGTCCCCAGCTTGTGGCAGTCAGTTTGCAGTGCAGCGACACAAACAGCAACATTACCTCCATTCTCCTCCCGCCAGTACTGAGCATCTGTGTAGAAGACAAGGCCTGAACCTCCTTTCTCCCACTTCAGCTCAATCTCCTCCTCAAACAGCCGCTCCTCCACACGATCCTGCTTGGTCACATCCTCATGCAGAGCCTCGTGTCGCTCCCATTCCTCACAGGTATCATTGTCCTGCAAAGAAGCCAGCAAAAGGTGGGGGACAGCAGCAGCACAAAGTCTCCTTTTCACTTCCCTGACCCTCACGGCCTTGACAATAAAACACCTTTGTCAACAGAGCTCGTCTCAGCCTGCTGTTCTCAGGCACTGACACGACCAGCGCTGATGACCTCATTCCCCTGACTAATGCCAGAGTCAGCAGACAGAAGTGGTGAAAAATACCACATCACACCCACTTCACAGCATGCTTTCAGCAGCGTACCTGATCTGTAACGCAAAGATGTCCATTTAAGGAGCAGGTGTGTTGTAGGTAAAGTCAGCACTAGCAACAAATTAATTCCACTCAAGTAGATCCCTAAAGAGATTGTATGGGTTCCAGAAAAGGAGTTTGCTGGCACAGCCACAAATCAGACTGACAGCTTTAGTGCTGTCTGCCCAGCTGTGGGCACAGCCCTTCAAGGGAGACACCAACCAACTAAGGAATGTCCAAAAGAACAGCTGGAGATCCAGGAAACAGAGCCCCTGAGAAACGGCCAGAGGAGCAGACTGGCTTAGTCTGGAAAAGACTGAAAGCAGCTGTTGAATAAAGAGTTCTTAAAGGAAGGAACAAAGTGTTCTCTGTGTCCACTGTTGGTAGGAGAATCTAATGGAATAAAACTGCAGCAAAGATTTGACATACAAGTTAATTCTGGTGCATAATGGCAGGACAGCCAGGAACGGGAATGGCTTGCCTCAGGACTGCACTGCCTCTGTAATAACAAAGGTTTGGGAGAGCAGGCTAGACAGGCGTCTGTCGGGGGGAGCAAGATAATCTCTGAGAGCCAGACCAGCCCAGTTTTCTAGAAGTCTTTGTCAAGAAAGTCATTTTTCTCCAAATGACTAATTTGTATTGCAGGAACATTCAAGGTCAACCATCTGCACGACTCTGCATGTCATTTCCAGAACACTGATGTGCTCCTCAGTCTCCAGCCATCTCATTTACAAGCAACATCAGAGCCAGACCAACCTGCCACGCAGCAGGCAGAGGTGCCCTCCTGCAGCACCAGCCACCACCGGGGCTCCATCCTCTGGACTGAGCTCTTTGTGCTCACACCATGAAGCACTTTCACTTGGACAAGCTGCTCTGGAAGTACTAACATCTGCACCACCACGTGCACCAAGGAGCTCAGAATGTGAACAACCACATTTAACGCCATATTCAGACAAGCAGACTTCCCAGTACAATTAAAAGATTAAAAATTAGCTCTAAGAGTTACATCAATTCTCTCAGCTTTGCAGCGCAGCGCCTGACCGCAGGCAGCACTACAAAAATCCACTCACGTCATCCGAGTGCGACTCCTCTTCCTCCTTTTCCTGCCCCACCTCGTCTTCCTCAGCACTGGCTGGATCAGTCACCTCAGATCTTGCCACAGGCCCCTCGTCCTCTGTGATCTCATCCCCCGTAGCAGTGTAAACTCTTTCTTCTTCTATAACCGTCTCAGTGTTCTGGTATTCAAAAGGCACGTTGCCATACCTCCGGGATGAGCCTGTCTTTGGGAAATCCAGCTGTAATTTCTTGATGATCCTGGGAGGCAGCCTGCAGGCACGGATCAGCTCCAGAAAGACTTTCAGAGGGGTGCCCACGTTCCCAAAAGGCATAAAGGAAGGGGGGTTGAACTCAGGCAGCCGCTTCAAGTCCGATTCCGTGACGGTTTCACCCTCAGCCTTCATGTCCACTCCACTAGGAAACGTTTCTGTGCCTGGAAGAGGGAAGGAGTGATTTGGGGAGGGAAAACACACCAACACCAGAGAGGGGCAAATCGGGGCCCTCCTGGGAAGGTCTAGGGAACAGCCCCCAAACTGACTTTGCTTGCCCCATAGCAGATGTAAGGTGTTAAGGAAACTCCACCGGGGGGGAGAGGGAGAAAAAGGGAAGAGAGGGAAGGAAGGGAGAAAGCGGGGGGGGGGAGGAAGTAGGGACGACCCACCCTGTGCTCAACGGGCCCACAGGGGAGCCCAGACGTACCTGTCCCGGGGCTGAGGCGGACCCTGCGGACGTGGCAGCGGCCGGGCAACGAGGTGCCGCCGGGCCCGACCCAACGTCTGCCCGAGTACATGCGGACGAAGCGCCGGGCCCGGCCGGGCCGCACGGCCACCGGGCAGCAGCAGGTGCTGGGCGCTGCGCTCTGCCCATCGCTGCCGCCCGCCGGCGGGCGCTCGGGGCGGTGGCGGTAGTGGAAGCAAAGGAAACCGCCGGCCTCCAGGAACTGGCTGAAGTAGGCACGGAGATGGGCAGAGCGCAGCGCGGCCGGGATGCCGCTTACCAGGCAATAACGAGCGGCAGCGACGCCGCCATTAGGGATTTCACAACTGGGCGCCGCCATCTTGTCCGCCGAACGGTGCGTCACGCGGGGCTGGGCGCGCGGTGATGACGTCATCAACAGACCCGCGGGGAAGATGGCGCCGCCTCGTGGCGGGGAGGGGTACTGCAGGCCATGGGGTCAGTGCAACCCAACCCGGGGAGGGGTCTTGGTGTTTGCTTTTCCTTTTCCTTATTTTCATTTTCCTTTTAATTTCTTTTACGCTCGGTAAAGTAGCAGCTCTGAGAGCTATGCGTAGGACAGGGAAAAAGAGTGATGCTGTGGTGTCAGGCTGAAGTGAGGCGCCGCCCCACCATGCACGGGGCTCCCTGTCTCCAGGAGTTGCTGGGAGCACAGTGGGATGGAGGCACCGGGGGCTCTTCCCTGTGCCCAGACGCCTGCCTGCCTGCTGCTGGGTTACTGTGCCAACGGGGCTATTGGGTGCCCTGCACGCAGTGACTCACGCGTGTGTCACCGTGCTGAGCAGCTCGTGGCTGGCGTGGGCCTGCGGAAATCATCCGGTGACTCACAGCCTCCTTCCCTTTGGAAAATGGCTGTCAGGGGCTGAGATCCCCTTGGAAGCAGCCTGCTGCGGTTTGGCAGCGGGGGTGAAGGGACAGCTGGGCAGAACGCGCCGCTCTCCCACCAGGCTCCTGTTCAAACGCGATGTGTTTCAGGGCGATGGGGAACCAGGAGACCTTGCGTGGCTCCAGCAGGCACCTCGGCGGGGCCACGCGTGGCACACAGCCTGGTCTCCGTGCCTGCTGACGGCTGTGTGCACATCCAGGTGAGTCAGCACCCACCTCCTGCCTCAGCACCTCCGGGTGAGGCTGCGTGCATGAAGGAAGGCGCAGCGTGCAGACAGGCTGCGGTTCTGCTGCCTCTGCAGATTTCTCTCTGCTGGGTGCACAGGGCACTGTGTGCCACGGGGCTGTGAATCAGGCACTGCTGTGACCACATCGCAGCGCTGCCCTGCGATGACGAGGCAGCAGGATTTCACTGAGAGGGGAAAGGCTCTGCTTTCAGGTGTCCTTTCCACACCAGGCCTGCAGCCAGTATTTAAGTGCGGAATCCCAGGAACGTAACAGACACCCTCCCTGAAAGTCACCACCGCTTTCCAAAAGGTAAAACGCTTTATTAAAAAAATAATTTACTGTATCTTATATACAAACCGAAAGAAGGTTCACCCACAAAATACTGACATCTAATGCTTTACAAAAGCTGCAGACAGAAGTGAGGTTTCCAGACGTGCTACATGTTTAACCAGCTGTAACTCAAGGCAGGGATGTTTTGTTCTGCCACCAACAGTTCTGCTGGTTTGTTCGGTGTCTGTAGCTCAGTGTGTTGCTTGCTGTCACAGAACAGCCCACAGCCTGAGCCATTCTCAACGCTGCTAAAAGCACCTTTGTGGTGTATGGGTAGGACGGACTCCCTGGTGTTCATGCAGCATTATTTGCCATACGTTTCACTGCTCTTAGGAAATCCGTTGCTCTGTGAGCAATCCTGTTGCAGCTCATGGCATAATGGAGAGAAGAAGCAATCTGATGAAAGGCACAAGGCGTTAATTCGGCTGGCTGCACACCCTGTAAGATTTTGTACTTTTCCCTCTTGCTGCCTGAGGAAGATTCTTTATGAATATTTCTGAGATTTCGTGCACAACAGACATTGGCCAATACTTAAGGATCTAATTTCTGACTGTTTGCACTTGGTCATACTCTACAAGTGATCCCACTGAAGATACTCAGCACCCCTAAATACCACTATCACAGGGTTGAGCTGTCATGGGCTGTGAGTTGAGGTCAGACCTCATCTCTTGGAGTTAACAGCAAAACACACATTGGTTTTAATTGAACTGAGGATTCACTGAGATAAAAAAACAACTGGAGCAGGCTCTAACTCAATCTGCCCTGTGTCACGGGGCTGGCCTGCTTGCTAGCAGCTGAGTACTACCAGCTGCAGAACAGGGAAACAGCCACACACACACAGTCACACTCCTCGAAACAGACTGGCAGAGGCAGAACAGGAGCTGCCACAGACATCTGCTGAATCAAGGCTGCTTTCCTGAGTGCTCTGCTAACACCTTGCTGAGCCCTGCAGCCTAGCAAGAGGCACACGCAAAGCCAGCTGTGGAGCTCTGTGGAGCTCAGGGCGCCTGTCCCGAGTGCCTGCTCCCCAGTTCTCCCTGCTGCCCTGCCAGCTGATGGAGAGCACCCACAGAGCTGTGGCAGAGCACAGCAGCTCACAGGGCCGTGTGCGGTGAGGGAGCCGGCCGCCAGCTGGTGATTTCATACAGCATATCCACGATGAGCTCAACAATGTCTGCGCTGCCAATGACGGGCCGGAAGAAGAGGTCTGTGATGAGGGCAGGAGGGATGGATTTCAAGGTGGAGGTGATGAGCAAAATGAGGGCAAAACGGTCCTGGTCCTCAGGGTGCAGAATCCTCACCACCTCCTGAAGCGCTCGCTCGGCTTCCCGCTGGAGGCTCTCGATGTGCAGGGAGGCCGTCAGCCCTGGGACATCTGCCAAGAGAAAGGAGGAAAGGCATGTGAAGAGGAAGGCTGGAAAACAGCTCCAGGTTTCTCCCATCTCCTTCCCCGTGTCTTGGGGAAAACCTCCGAGTGCCACCCTAATGACACGGATTTCAGGGCTGTTGCGTTGAGGGAGTAAATATAACTAACAGGGCAGACATAGGCTTTATAGATTTAAGACCCCCTTTATAGATTTAAGTCCCCCTTTATAGATTTAAGTCCCCCTTTATAGATTTAAGTCTTTCTTTGCAAGGTGAGGAGGTCTCTGCTTTTAAACACCACATTCAGTATCTCTCCTCCCTGCGTCCCAGCTGTAAGCTGCACTTTTGATGCTAACGATAATGTGAGCAGCTCTCCCTGCTCTCACACACGCTTTTGCCCAAACTCTGAGTGACTCCAAGCCAAGAGCTGTGTTTTTAAATGCTAACTCATGCAGGGCTTTCTCTCGCCACCAGCAGGCAGAGCTGAGAGGGTTGAGCACTCACCAGGATTAAAGAGGATGGCTCCCTTCAGGTAGGCGTATTCTTTTGGGCTCAAGTCCAGGCTCCAAAAAGTGTTGAGGCTGCACTGCAGCCACTGCACGGCGGCCAGCATGGGCTGCGTCCACTCAGGCTCCTGCCTTTTGCTCTGGCCATCGAGGAGGATCTTCTCAAGCATGCTGGGGGCCGGGGTCTCCATCACCTCAAACGTCACCATCTCCTGGACCAGCCCCAGGAGGAAAAGGGGGACCCAGCAGCTGTCCAGCAGCAGGAGCTGATCCCCCCGTGGCAGCAGGTGGAAGGAAGGGAGGTTTTTCATGAAGCTGATGGTTTTCACCAACACATCAGAGGCGGCCTGGCAGGTGATATGGGGTGTCCGGAGGCAAACTGTCCAGCGCTGGTGACACAGGCAGCGTTGGTGGGGTGGGCTGTGGCTCAGGTTCTGGCTCAGGAGGGTGTAGAGAATGGCTGAGTGTTTGTCTTCATGCTGGCACTGACACCTCTCGCAGTCCATGTCCATGCTACTGGTCATCACAGCCTGGGAGCCTGTATCCTCTGTAAAGCTCCACAGATAGGAGAGAACTGTAAGTTTCCTCCCCGTCTCAGCCTGGGAGTGACCTGTCCCCTCTGCTCTGCCAGCACATGGCTGTTCAAACAAGCTCTTATAAGGCTCAGTCACAAGTGGAACACCCCTTCCCAGCCTTGACCGCTCTGTGATTAAGCGGTCCTCATTAAAAAAGAAAAAAAAAACAACCAACCCAACCAACCAGCTGTCCCCAGACTGATTGGCTGGGACCAGCAAGATCTCAGCATGGCGTCAGTGGCCGTTTTCTCAATGAAACGCCAGCAGCCGCAGAGCGGGGATGGGGCAGCGGGTTGGGCAGCCTTATCACAATTACCCAAACAGTATAAACAAAGTCATTAACCCGGGCTGTACCATGGCACCAAGGCCCTGCGCTGCAATCAGGCTGTGCTATCTGGCAGGTGTCGCTGCCAAGGAGTTCACACACACATACACACACACACGGTGCTCGTCTGGAGCGAGGACACCATGGCAAATGGCCTGCGTGCTCTGGCCTTGGAAAGAGCAACCTGGAAGTCATTTTATCAGCAGATGTTTGCCTAACCTTGTTGACAGGAGATTCGTGCTGTTACAGTTAAGGAAGCCAGTGAATAAGTGAAGCCACACTACACCCGATGCAGCGCCCCATGTGCTGCAGAAGAAACACTGGGTAGGCGAGAGCCAGATTATACATTTTTCCCTTTTATTGCGCTGAATTTGTATGTTTCGATCAGCAGAAGTGAAGTGGCAGCACACAATTATGGATTTCAGGGGGGCCTGTGAGGAATTCCTCACTTAAGTCCAGTGAACCCTGCGAGGAACAACTGCCTTAAGGGCACAAACAAGTGGGAACTGAGGGCCATGTTTATAGATTTTCAACACAAAATACCGGGGTATTTGTGTCTGTTGGCCAGCACAAGTCAGCCTGGGGAACTGGCAGCATCTGCTGATTGATTTCAGGGGGACCTTGGGCAGTAGGCACCCAATGGGGATAAGGGCAACTCATCCTAAGGGCACACAGTGAAACCAGCAATGAGGGGTAAGGAAAGGCCCACAGCAGCCAGCAGGACTGCCAGTCTCTCCCTGCTTCAGACTGCAGAGCCTTGGCCCTGCTTGGGCCTGAACGAGCGGCTCTTCGAACCGTGTGGTGACGGGAGGGGACTCGGGAAGAGCCAAACCCTGCGCAAGGACAGGAAATACCCGGAAGTAAACAACGCTGCCCGGCCCCGAGCCCCGAGCCCCGGCCGAGCTTTCTGGAAAGGCCCAGGCCCGGCCGTCGCTATAGCAACCGAGCCCCGTGCCACTCTTCCCGCCTCTCCACCGCGGGTACTGCCTCGACCAATCCGCGAAGGCAGCAGCGCAGCCGAGCGCTGCGATTGGCTGTTGAGGGAGGTACCGCTTTTCCGCTTCCGCCCAGCTTGCTTCCGGTTCCGGTTAGCAGTAGCGTGAGGGCTCTGAGGAGACCGGTGGCGGGCAGGATGGGGCTGAGCGCGGAGGAAGCGGCGGAGCAGGAGGATCGCTTCGATGGCATCCTTCTGGCCATGGCGCAGCAGCACCAAGGCGGCGTGTGCGAGGTAGCACCGTCGTTCCCGGGGCGGCCAAAGCCTTTCCGTGCTCCCGGTGGTGGTTGGGGGGGTGGGAGGAGCGGGCGGGCCCGGGAGGAGGGGCAGCGCGTGACTTCCGGCCCCGCCGTGGCGGCTGCAGCGGCTCTGCTGGGCGCGTGGTGCTGGCGAGGGGCTGAGGAGCTGCGGGGCGCGGCTGCTAACAGCGTGCGGATCCCCTTTCCTCGGCCGCGGCTCCGCTGCGTGGTGCACGAGGGCGGGGATGTGAGCGGAAGGAGCCGCTAAAAACCCGGCGACGGCCCCCTCCCGGCTCCTCGTGGGGCTCTGAGGCTGCGGTGCGGCCTCACTTTTACTCACGTGGCAGCTCAAGCTGGGATCCCGGAGCTGAGCTGCAGGAGGGCTGTATGGGAGCATCCCCCGCACCCCAAAATTTTGGAGAAGTGGTGCTAAAAACATCTCCTTGTTTCAATCCTCAAAGTTCAGGTTGGAATACCGACAAGATGCAATTCCTGATGGGAGGAAAAAATACAAAGAAAAAAAAAAACAACAGTGTTCTTTGAGAGAGTGCGTTTCCATTCATCAGTAACACTTAGCAGGTAGCAAGGCGGTTAGTGGGAAACAAAAGGACTTTGTTCTTTTGTAAAAGTAAAGGGACACAGAGCTGGGAAAGGTGGGCTTGTGTGCCTTGAGGGCTTAGACATGCGGGGCAGCAAAATACAGCATGTGTGTAAACCTGTACACATACACATGTATGGATATGTGCATGCTCAGTGTTCCTGCATCAAGTGGGTCTAATTAGCAGCTTGGGGTGCCCACATCTGTGCATCCCCAACGTGATCTGAGAATAACGTGCCTACATTATTAATGTAAATCACATAGACGCCTGTCCTGAAAAACAGAGCCAGGAGGTGGATTTTCACACAAGCCATGGAATGTTTTCTCTGGGAAACAATCAGAGGGTTTCATTATGGAATCGTAGAATTATGGTCCTGACTCAGATGGGAAGAGCAGAATAAAGACTGTTCACTAAACACGAGGTGCCTTGGGGTGATGTGGTCTCATTGCTCCGGGTGTTTTTTTTTTCCCTGTCCTTTTCCTGTCCCCCTTCCTTGTTCCCAGCTTGTGAACACATTCTTCAGTTTCCTGAGGCGTAAAACAGATTTCTTCACTGGTGGAGAAGATGGCGTAGCAGAGAAGGTAACAAACCACAGTCTGCAAGTTGTGTTATGTCTTTTGATTTACGTGTCAGCCACGTTTATGCCTTGCTAAGCCTTCCTTTCCTGAACATCCTAAAGCCCTGTAATGCAATTGGGGATGAGCAGTAATAAAACACACCACTGAAACGAGGGAACAGCGAGCTGTCCCTACCCGTGGTGAGGCACGGCCGCTTGCTCAGGTGATGCTGGTGGTGCAGGGATTTGCCATGCTCTGGCCAAAGGCTTGTTTGGAAAGCAAATCTGCCAGACGCGCTGACTGAACGGTGACAGACACCGCCGTGACGATAACTGCGTGTCGCCTTGTTTGTTCACCCCAGGAAGAGCTCAAAGTCCACATCTGCACACCAGCAGCTGCACCTTTGTCTCCGGGCTGCTGTAACTGTAAGGACTGAGCGCCTTGGCTCGTCCCAGCACGAGTTAGCCAGACTTTCTGAAGGGTTCATAGTTGAACTTGCTGTTCCCCCTCACTTAGCATGTGAACTGCTTTGTAATGCTCAGCTGGATGCTGTGTCCCTGCCCTGCTTGCATACAATCTTCGGGTGATTTGCTGAAGGGGTTACAGGGAAGCTGATGTTGTAGAAGGGTCTGATGCTTCTGGATCCCACGGCCAGTATGGAACAGAGGGAAAAACTCAGAGTGCACGTCTCTTGTGAGCACTTTTTGACTACTAGAACTCCCTGTGAGCAAAACAGGTGCTGTTGCCATGGTAAATGCATTAGGGAAGGCATTAATTGCTAATAGAGAGCAGAATGTACTCTCTCTGGTCTCCAAAGTAACAACTAAGGCAGGTCAGGGGTGGGAAAGAGGATGGTTTCAAAGGAAGAATGAATTGAAGTCTAGTGCTGTTTTCCTTCCATTGGAGGACATATCTCCTCAGATTCCTGGGGATTCTGTGTTCCCAGGGAATGAAACTGAGTAGCAGATGGGAGATGAGCCCTGATGGGTGCTTTTGGGGGTCCTGGCTGCTCTTATTGGAACTTATGTAGCTAAATAGCTTTGCCCCCTGTGGGTTCAATTAGGAGCAGAGGCTGGGAGATGCACGTCTTGAGTTCTGTGTCCTAGGAGACACTGGACTCAGGCTGTGTAAATAAACCTTGTTTTGCCCTTTAGAAGCAAAGCAGAAATAGCTGCTGGTTGGTTACAAAACCCATTGCTTTGAGTTTCTCTGGAAAGGTGCTGATTCATCGCAGGGGTTCTGGGCTGTACATACAGAAATACCTGGCACCTACATCTGAGGACTCTCTCCACTCTGATTCGTCTTCTGAGATTCTGTCTGCGTTGTTTTCTGGAGCAGTTCTCGTCCGTGCAGCTCTGCACAGTGCTCTGTGGCATTACTGAGCAGCAGGCAGTGCTCTGGCTTCCTGCCTGCATACTGAGCTTTCCCTCTGAGCAGCACAGCCGTTTGCATCAGAGACCTTGAGAGTTTGCTTTTCACAGACACAACAATGTGAAAGGTTGAAGTTAGGTTGGAAGCAAAGATTTCTGTTGGAACTTCACCCTCAGGAAAAGGAGCTTTTCAAATCTTCCTCCTCTAAATGGTGACACAGTGAAACTGTGATACTTATTGATTTCTGCTAGATTTTGCTGTTGCAGTGGTAGCCACAGTTCCAGGAGCTATAGGAATTCCTCATGGCAAAGGTTTTGTAATCCAGACATTAAATATGCCTGGGGAAAGCCCAGCTGGGGGAGAGGTCAGAAGCAGACATAAAAACTAAGACCAGTGTCTCCATTCTTCCAGCTTTCCTGGATGTATGGAGCAGCTGGGTTAGGAAGGCTCAAAGCACAGGACAAAAAAGCAAAAAACTTTGGTATCTAGTGAGTTGGCTTCATTTGGGTTTGGAAAAAAAAAAGAAGGGAGATTTCTTTTTTTTTTTTCAACCCTTTGGTACACGTCCCTGTCTTCCAGCTGATCACAGACTCCTTCAACCATCACAACAAACTGGCTCAAAAGGAGAGGAAGGAGAAGAAGGCTCGACAAGAGGCAGAACGACGGGAGAAGGCAGAGAGAGCTGCAAAGCTTGCCAAGGAAGCAAAACAGGAAGCAAATGAGCCAAGGATTAAGGAACTTACAGACGAGGAAGCAGAAAGGCTGCAGCTGGAAATCAATCAGGTGAGGGTTTTCACTTGGCTCTTATGGGTGCCAGCTTGGTCCAGGCTGTCTCCTCCATTTGCCAGTGCATGTTTCAAGTAGTGGGGGTTGTTCAGATGGCTTGGACTCACTGCTTTGCAGCATCAGAACCTCCTGATGGCAGCAGGGGGGGCTTCTGAAGTAAAGCACTCTAGAACAACTGTTAGATTTTGGTGTGGGTTTGCCAGTGAGTCCCTCTGCCCTCAGCAAGGTATTGCAATACCTTCTGCTGTAGAAGTGGAAGCTGCC